ACTGGTTTTTTGTATATTGAAGCTATTTTTTTCCACGGCCTATTTTTTCAGTATTTTTACTACTGTTTGTGCTATTTTGTCGTTGCTTGATTTCGTTTCTTGTTTCGTAATGTTCTAGCGGTTTGATTGTTGACAATTCATAGATTTTAAAGCATGTCGACAATTCATAAGTTTTAAAGCGCTCGACAATTCATTATTTAAATTTAAAGCGCTCAAGTAAACTCCCTAAATTCTTTGGAGGCAAGCTTATTGATCACAATTTTTGACGGCTAGACTCGAATTATGTTTTCATCCCACTTTAGTTTTGAGTGTGAAAGAACGAAGTAGTTTTCATTTGAGTTTTCATATGGAACTTCAAAACAAATCAAAATGTAAATGACTTCAGTTACTTAAATTTATCTATTGATCTAGTTTTCTCTAAATGGGATAACTCAAACGAAAAAAAAGTGTCGTTGATAAACAGTATTTGAAATTCAAAGAGCATCAACGTGATATATTATCTTAAAAATTCAAAAAATTAAAATATTTCTCTACGTCTCCCGGTGACTGAAAAACGTTTTGATTAACTTTATTAACTTTATTTCTCGATTTTTCGCGGTTATACTTCGACTTTTTGCGATTGACTTTTGAGTTCTTTTTAAGTTCAATTCATTTTCGTTTGGTGAAAGGAAACTAAATTTTGCTCGAAAGTGGAGTTAGGTTATCCAGTCGAATGATAAATGTTTCTGTTGACCAAGTTTTCTCTAATTGATTTAGTTTTGTGAAGTTTTAATCATAAAAGATTTTCGAAGTTTATAGAATTTCAGTGCAATTTATTTTTTCTTCGAAATTCAAAAAAAATGATCTCAAAAATTCTCATTTTTTCGGTTTCCTTGTTCATTGATACTTTCCAACTTTCTCTTGGCTGTCAAATGGCCTTTAAATGTTTCTGTCATCTAGAAAAACTGGTCCAATTTCGAACGAGTAACACAATTGAAAAGTGTTCGTTATATAAAAATTGATCCTATGTGGTAAGAAAACTTGGCTTTTTTAAAAATAAAACTACTTGCGGAGGCTTTAGCGTTTGTATAGTTCACTCATCACACGACACTAAATTGAAGAAAAAAACGTGGATTTTGATTTAAATCTGTGGTCGGAATAATGGGCAATGTTTTTTTCCTACTTATTTTTTTCTGAATTTTTTACACTTAATTTGAGCTACTGTTGGCGTTTTTTTAAACGTGTGCGAATAACAGCTTGCTTGCTTGCCTGTGCATAACTCTTGTTGGTGAACGTTTTCTGCTGTTCTGAGATGTGCAATACTTTTCAATCTTTGATATTTTTGATGCATGTCATGATTTGCGGAAGTGAGATATGGTGGATATGTTTGTGCTGGTATCCAGAATTCAGAGTTGCCTGCGTCTCCGCATTTTTTTCGATAAATGTTGATTCAGGATAATATTTTGTGCTAAGATTTTTCACTTGATACTAGGAACTTATTTTAGTGTGTTTAGTGTCTCAAGTGTTGCGATGCTCCGATTCGTCTGTTTAGTATTTTCAATACAGAGCCAAGCAGACGTCATCGAACGAATTGAGATTCCTTTCCCAATATCTTTTTGAATGTAACATGTATATTGAGATAGATCACTCTGAACCTGTATATTCATGCCATATTTTGTCTTGTCCGCTCTAAAAGCGGTCAATTCTTTACTTGTTGCTGCTTGGTGCTCACCATGCTATAATCCAGTTATTTCCATTCGCTGCAATTTGTCCCTAGTCGGACCTGAAATAGAGACAAATTTTAAAGGAACTGAAATTGGCGGCACTATAAATCCTATCTTGCCTTCGCTCGATCAGTGAAGCAATCAACCTGCCTTCCCTCTTACATGTACCCCCACCCCCTCCCCCGCCCGAAAGGCCGATTCGATTTAGTTCTAAATTAAATCAAGCACTTGTACAAATACAGACAACAGTAAAATACTGCCATGAAAGTGATCGCTTGGACGTACTAGCTTAGAGCAGATACTAGAGGTCAACTTGAATGGAATGTTCTGTTCTTTAATAAGGGATGAAATTAACATAGTTATTCAGATGTTAAATTGTAACAAATTTTAATCGTTTTTGCAGAAAGACAAAGGCTCAAAAATTAAAGTAAAAATGACCTTAACGTGACAGAAACAAAAACAGAGCCTATTCTGTATTTCAAATCCGGTTTTTGCATTTCAATGCAAACTTTTGGATCTAATTAACAATCCCCCCTCCTTCAAGAAAGGGGGAATTGTTGTTAAGTAGATAGATTAAGTTGTCGAAGTTTCGACCAACCATCTTGCAGCTAAATTCGAATTTTAAATTAGCATTGTATTTATTGTTTTTATGTATAGGGGTGGCAATCCTTTAGTAGATACCAAAGGAGGGCGATTGTTAATTAGATCCAAACTTTTTTGCATTTCAAAAAGAGCGCTCCATTTTTTTCTTTGAAATGAAAATTTAAGGAACTGGTCGTTTTTATCGGCATTTCTGCCCTTAAGATCATCTGCTTTTTGACACATAGCCCAGATAGAGCAGCAACAGTTTCGTATCTATTTTTACCTCTTCAATCCTTTTAAATTCACCCTGCAAGTAGGTAAGTGGGTCAGTGGAAATTTTCCCAACTCCTACGCTTCCCAGTATACTTGTTCAGCCTGGAAAGAAAGACGCCATGCAATAATTTCTAAGTGCGTTTAATAACATTTAGGTCCGAAAGTTCCGTTGATCCAAAAAGTGTTCCGGCTTTTTCGCGACATATTAGTTTTTTTAAGTTCATTTCGCCAAATTATAAAAATCCTGCGTACATGTATTGATGATGTTTCTGTTCTGTGACCGCTAGGATTTGCTCGCATTCGAACCATGGTTGAGCGTTGAGCGGGGTGGAATCTAAATAAGGTAGTGACTAGTGAAGCAAGCAAGCTGTTTAGAAAAAGAATTATGCAATCGCTCTTTGAACTAAGGAACAAAATTGGGAAGTGTGGAGTAGTATAGCTCTTGTTAAGTCCGGCTAAGTGCCTCGACAGAAGTACCCTTTCTTCGCCTTTACATTATCACCCAGTCAACTTACATGTCCATTTTAGCAAAGCCAATTTGGATGTTTGATAGTTTTGGAAAATTACAGGAAATCGGAATAGTATCCAGAATAGTTACATGGTCCAGGTTGAGATCAGTTGCTTGGTGCTCCAATTGCCATTCATTTGGATACAAAAACAGTTTCAATGCTTTCTTTTAATTCAACAAAATTATAATAGTTTTGCTAGAGTGAGAGCTCTAATTTTGCTCCGAATTTGGTTTCGAAGTTGGTGTGGTTGGGTGGAGTTGTGCGTGTGTGACGAGGGGGGGGGGGGGGGGGGGGGGGGGGTTGAGGGGAGAGGGAGAGGGGAGAGGGGAGGGGTCTCTGAATTATTATTACCTACGATGCGCCATGCACAAATTTTAGTGAAAAACATCGTGTGATGGTATCTTTATTATGTGATGGGGTTAATGACAGTAAAAACACCACCTTATATGCGCATGCTTTTTAATTACACGTCATGATTTATTTATGTCTTGTTAGCCATCATTTTTTAAAGTGATATATGTTTGATTATTTTGACCAAACATATAAAACAGTATATTATATTCAATACTCTCTGTTCCAGGCCATATGCATGTTCATACCATGTAATGTGTGGTATAGATACTGTTTTTTTTAAAGGAGTTCAAAAAATGAACTTTTATTTGAGACAGTATTCTGAAATTGCATTCCAATGGACTTGAAGTTGGAATTTAATGGATTTATACAACAATATGTCGACTCAGTGTGTTGTGGAGTATTCCCCTTGCTGCAAGAAATGATGTATAAAATTAATGATAGATGACAACTGCTTGAAATTTTAGCGTTAAATTTACGATCTAAGTTATAATTCAACGAAGAAGAGGCTTAATGTTTCCATCTAGATTGTTACTATTGAAGAAGCTGGAATTAAATTATCTAAATCGCTCTATAACACCAAAAATTTAATTCGAATTAACCACTGGTGGGTTCAAATAGAGTAATATCGAGTGCTAATCGGTCTTGTGGGGTGGTTTGGGGCTCCAGAACCAAACCTTAAAAGCCCCAACTTAAATGCATCAAAGCTGAAAAAGCTTTTGAAAATCTCATTTCAATAGCATGCTGTAATTTTGTGTCTTTGATCAAGCGAGAGAGGTTATATTAAAGGTTTCCTAATCAGAGTTTTCAGGAGCTTGGTGCTTTTGAGATTTACAGAAGAGCTTGATGTTAACTGAAAAGACTTCTCATTCGCTAGTTAGTAGTTCGCATTCTGGTGCTAGGTTTATTGAAACCCGATCAATTTTTGTTAGCGTGACAACAGTCGTGGTTGATGAAATCTTTAAAGTGAAATTTAGCAGGTCGCTAATTTAGTTCAAGTTAAGGTGATTTAAGACTATTTAACCACGCGGGAAAGGACTAGCATAATAGCTGTGTTGCTTGCTTGCTTGAGAATTTTTCCATGCTATGAAATGTTTCGCTGCCCTCGGACGAGGAGAGTCGATCATGATGGGACTTGAACCACCGATCTTTTGACTGAGAGGCGCAGACATTACCGCCGCTCCTCCAATCAAACCAAGCAGTTTGATGGTTTCCAATTAAAGTTTACCATGACTTCTTTCGTAGCAAAGCAAGGATGGTGAAGCCTGCTTAAACGATCATTCAATAGTTAGAAAGGGACATAAGACGTAAACAGTTGGCAAGCAGGAATAGTTTACTAATAAAAATAGTTTGACTTGCTTGGGCAAGAAAGTGAAAAAGGGGCCAGCGGCGGCTAAGTTTACCATGAGTGCCGAAGACGAAAACCCTTTTACCACCTAATTCTGAGCTCATCAAATTAATACTAACTTCGAAGTATGTCAAAAACCATTCGGATTTTACTCTTAAAGGATAGATTTGTAACTCAGTAGCATAAGAATGAAATTGCCTGTTTTTGATAATTTGGGTGTTTTTGATGTTTTAGAAAGGACAACTGAGATAATTTCTGTGGACGAGGGTTTCTCTGGACTGCAGTCTGGACACCTGATAAGCAGTGACCAGTTCCCAGCTGGATCTTATACGGAGGGACCTAGAGGAATGAGGTTGTGGATGTTTGTGAACAACAGACCTGGAACTACTTTGAGACTCAAGTTCAATGACATGTATCTCAAGCCGCCACAGATGGTGGGGTTCTGCCCGACTGCTTTCATTAATGTAAGGGTTATTGACTTCGTTATTTGTTCGACATAATGGTGGTGTTATCAGACAATAAAACAAGCTGGCTGTACAGTGTAGCGGCGACCAATTTAGTCGCAAAAATTCTGTGGATATTTTTTGGGTAGAGCAAATAGGTTTCCGAGCTTTCTTCCATAACCCTGCGAAGATCCTATGTTGACATGACAAAATTTTTACACAGCAGGCTAATTTTTGAAGAAATCGGCCAAAAATTTTGGCTGCTTTGAATAAGTTTTTCCGTTACTGCGTAGAAAAGTCTGTATGCTAAGTTTCACGTCTGCTAGTTTTAATATCGGTTCATGATTTCGGTTTTTAATCTCACTCAGGCCTTTACTTATTGGAACCGGAAAATTTAATGATACTTGAAAAATTGGAGGCATTTGAAGGCCTAGATGCTTTTCGAGCCGTCGCATACAATGTGATGTCTGTGTGCCAGATTGAAATTCGCCTACAATTTAAATTCTGTGCGCCAGATTGAAATTTAGATGAAAGGTTCAATAACTTTGATACAGTTGCTAAATCAAACGGCTATAGATGATTAAGTACCACTGAAAATGGTTCCGTGAAGGTGAAAAATACAGTTTTTCAGATTTAATGATTTCATTAAAGGCTGATCATACATTTCTAACAAGCAGTGTTCTTTATGACAGAGAACTTTTGGTCAATTCAAAATGGGAAGGTCTTTAAAAAAACAATGCAATACGGAAATTTGCCCTGAAGGCAGAGTAGTTAAATTGCGACGTAAAGTTCAAGCTAAAATATCGAAGTATCTCTGTTTTCGATGGCTGAAGTGTTTGGAAAGATCTGACTGAACTGTCTCAAATTACCCTAAGTTTCTTAACTCAGGGTCATCATTTTTTTCTGTTAATTTTCAAATTTAATTGACCTTAACTTAAAAACTGGCTGAATTTCAAACTTGGCATGATTCATTTGTTACTTTTCAAACTAAAATGGCCTTAACGTCAAATTTGGCTGAAGTGTCTGTGGCTGAGTTGTCCGGATATTTTTAGACGAATTACCTTAATTTCAAATGGTTTTTGGCTAAGTAAATAGTCCGAACGGGTTCAATTGTTTAGATATTCCACGGACCTCCCCAGTTGTCGGACACTTGGTACTCAGTTCTCTGCGACAGGAACTTCCCAGAAGACATCTACTTCACGGGAAGGATTGTAACTGTAGCCTTTTTGTCTATAAGCTCGGGATCAGTGGCGGATTATGGGAATGGATTCAATATAAGCTACACATTCTTCAATCGCAATGTAACCGGACACAAACATCTAGGTCAGTTTTAGTTGGCTTTATAAATACAACCAAAATAGCTGGCTGCAAGTAGCAGAGAATGTTCCGAAAAAACTGATTGGAGACAAAAATTCGAAATGACTTGAAAACTCGAAAAAAAACAAGCCTTTTCATTTGTCCAAATTTTTGTTATTTTTTTTTCTGAAAGGGCTATTAAAGTAATTCAAAAATTGCACGAATGAGTGTTCATTAATAGCTGGATACACAAGCAGAGATAGTGTCATATTGCGAAGTCAATTCATTTGGTGGCTCATTTGTTAGCTTTATAACTGGTTTACAGCTGCAATAGCATTATTTTTTGGATCTGGTTTATTGGTGGCTAGTGTTTGAATTTTATCAAGCGACCATGGCGCAGCCGTAGGCAATTAAAGGACGTGAGTTCGATTCAGGCAACTCACAATTTTCTAATTAGTCTTTCCTTATTCTATTTTGTTACTCTTTCTAGAGCTACTTTTTGTGGTTTTATCGCTCGTGTTTGCAAAGTGCAGCTTCGCCTATGTGTATAATGTTAAAACTGTAAAATATTGCAGGTCGGCCTCCGATTAATGCGCTGCCTGCGTTAATGTAACGTCTTCTGAAACTGAAAAAAAAACATTTGAGACCTTGTGAGCTTTTTCGAGGTATTCAAAATCGGCGGGAAAAAAACAGACACTAGGCCATAGTTCCTTCCATTTTGTGGTCGTAACGAAAGTATCCAAAAAGTTTGTCGAGAAAAATTTTCGTTTTACGCTTATTTAGTGCGAGACTTTTTTCGCTTGCAGGAGTATGTGTTTAAGAGTAATGAACGTAGTGAAGACTCTTATATAGGTCTTACTGATTTTTTTTTTTGTTTTTTTCAGGAAAAAGTCTTAAAATTTTTATGCACTTAGGTATAATGCATTTTTTGAAATCAAGTGAAATTCATCTGCTGAAAGGGACGTAAATAGCACTCTCCACATACGAACGTAGAAATGGCGCGAAAAACGTGAACCATTTCTAGCTTCGAAAATGGAATTTATTTTAAAGATTTTCCAGCGGAATAAAAACTTTACCTATTGATCCAGTTTTCTCAAGTTGGGTTCATGTTATCAATAAAGCGCCAATCATAAATTGTTTTAGAAATTCAAAGAGCTTAAAGGGCATCTATTTTTTCTTTGAAATTCGAAAGTTTTTCAAGAAAGTCAGTATTTTTTTTATGTTTACTTGCGTTCATTACTCTTTTCCAAACTTCGATTGGCTATGTTTAAATTGTATTAAATTAGCCTTCGTGTAATAATGTTACGGTGCGAAGCTCTCCTTTGTCTCCGTGTAATAGTGTTACGGTTAGCCAATTGAAAGAACCCTTTTTTCTGTATATCGAGCGGTTAGTCTATCTTTTAGCAAACAGATTTTCCAAAATATTGGCGACTTTTTTTTGCAAAAGTGTACTAAATTTAAATTTAACTGTAAAACTGCGTTTTGCAAAGATGAAGGTAAGTCTCCTCCTTTGAGTCTACTGAAAATTGAGTTTGTTCAGCTACATCCGGTTCTGTCCAATATTTGTTTTCCTTCAAAAGCATGGGAACTTCATACGAAAGTCTGGCGCTTCATTGTGACAGGCTGTAACAAGTTGAGCCGTCAGGCTAGAAAAATGCTGGACGCCTCTTTTTTCATTTGCAACTCCAAAGGAGGTATATTGTTCTCGATTACATCTTACGGGGTCGGTATGACAAACAAAAAGATCAAAACACAATAACCATCTGGTAAAAATGTTTGGAATTCGCTCCGTCCGTTTTTGTTTGATTTAGTTTTGTTCCGCCGACCATCTTAAAATTCAATCGCACTAAGAATCCATATTTATTGTTTTTTTTCCTTTAAAATCAGTCTAGATAACATTACCAGTAGTCGTTTTGTCTTATGAGGTCTTATGATTTAAAGTTGAGAAGATTTGTATGATATGTTCGAAAAGGTCGATAAAATTTATTGCTTTTTTAAGCTCAATTGATTCGTGTGCTTAAGTCAAGTGTTAATCTTGATCGTGTGTGAATTTTGCAAACTGCAAAAATCAGAATGAAAAGATGCTTCGTTCAGTCGTTAATGGATTTTTATATTCGGTCAAGTATTTAGATTGGGTCGTTATGGATGGTGGCAATTGCTTCGAACGCGTTCTCTACTTATCTGATCGAAACTTAATGGCGCGAAATAGTTTCGGAGGAAGCTGTTTTGAACATCTTTCACGTTGCTCAAACTCAAAAGCTAAAAGGTGAATAATGCTTGATCTTCACATTATGATCTTCGTGTCTTTTTGGTGCTTTCTTTTTTTTACATACTAATTACTTAATTCAAAACTGAATTTTTAACTGGCCTGTTTCCCCGTATTGAACTTCTGCACAATTTAATGAAAGTTAGGAGTTTTTTTTCACTAGTGGCGCGAAGCTCCGGTTTGCCTAAGTGTCCATATGCTTTCCTTATTCCGACTAATTGACCGGTATGCCAAAGGAATTGGATGATCCCTACTGCCGCGATTTTTTAAATTTAATTCCATCCGTATATTTAATGCACAACGTAATTGTTGGACTTAGATCATTTTGAATCGAAAGTTGTCTGATATCTATACGAAAAAACTTTATTTATCATATTTTTGTCGACATAGCTTGCAAACGATTTATTAAGTGTTTAACTAAGGTTGCTTAGAATTTTTTCTGCAGATTTTCTTAACTTTGATCTTACTTTTGCTCATCGTGTGTTTGCTAAGGTTTTGTCCGCTTGGTTACCACAGCATTTACTTTTTACACTTGGGAGAGCCATTGAAGTTTTCACGCTGTTGTTCATCAGATAACTGAGAAAATCTTTGCACCTATCTGCTTCGCTCAGTTAGTAATAAAATTGCCTTGTTTGTAATGAATTCGCTCAGTTTGTAATGAATAATTGAGATTTTTTGGAAGCTTTGTAATCGAAAATTTTTCGTGTTCTAGAAGAGTAATGAACGTAGTGAGTACTCATATATAGGTCTTGCTGATTTTTTTTGTTTCAGGAAAAATTCTTAAAAATTGTTCATGCTCAATTTTTGTTGTTCATGCTCATTTCCATTGTTAAAAGGAAGGCAATCTCCACTATCGAACAGCAAAAGTGTAAAGGTCACGAAAAACGTGATCGATTTCTAATTTCGAAATTGAAAATTAATTGTCAGATTTCCCAGCGAAATAACAGTTTTGCGTATTGATCCAGTTTTCTTAAATGAGTTAACTTTAACAAAAAAACGTGTCCATCGTAAATTGTTCTACAAGTTCAAGAGCCTTAAGGCCAGCTAATTCTTTCTTCAAAATTCAAAAGTTGAAGGTTTTTGAAAAAACAAGTCAGTTTTTTTGTTTGCTTACGTTCAATACTCTTTTTCAACTGTCAGTTGGCTGTTCTAGCATAATTTGAAATTTTTGTTTACGACTTTTTTCAATTTTTCTCTACAATCTTCTATTATTCAGGAGAGAAATCAATAAATTGCTCGTTCTCTTAAAGCTTCAGATTTTTGCTTTTCTATGTGCATCAATTTGAAATAAGAACAAGAATAGGCTGTTACTAAGACGCTTAAATACTCAAAGTAAACTAACGTTACTCAAGTAAACATAAGTTTTTACGTCTTAATTTAAGCTATTGCAAGCTTTTAAGTAATTAAAATAAGACTGCTCGCTCGCTTTATGCACTCGAATTAAGACAGAAAATAAAAAATTTCAATCCAGTTTTTCTCGACACTGGAGATTTTTTTGGAAATTTTTCAATGTGGTTCGAATCACCACTGAAAGGACTTTTATTTGATATATCACTCAACCCAGTCCGAATTATTTGTGGCACCTGAGTTTGCGTGGAAAATAAAGACTGTTTAGTGGCTGTTTATGCCGTAGTTTTTACGAAATTTTGTACGCATCGCTTCTAATTAGTGTTCATTTTTGCGAAATGCCTCTTCTCTGAAAAAGTAGCAGAAACATTATCTTTTCGTAACAATCGTATTATTCATGTTATTGAGATTGCTTTTGATATCCCATCACCTTGAGAATAATTATTTGGTTCGCGTCTTTGTTTTGTGAGGATTAAGTTTGATTAAGCTCTTCAGAATTCTTATCCTGTTTTTTCTTGAGACAGCTTGTCGATCGCATTTTGTTCAATAACGTGAATGCTCCCATATAACGTAGAAATATCGGCTTGTTCTATTTTTCTTCACATGTACTTCACAAGTTTCTCCTATTTTTTCACTCCTTGTTCTCTTTTCGAACAAACAGTTCACTCGAACTAGGCAAGCAGATTATTTTCCAGGCAAGCATAGAAGGACAGACTAATGCTTACGTAGCTAAATGGTAATAGTACCACGTAGAAATATTTGGTATTAGCTGTAGACAGCATCGGGTTTCTAGCCACTTATTTTCCATATATCTCCATTTTTATTTCCGTTCCAGGTAGCCTCAAATTGGATTTCTCTATCTTGCATCGCTCCGAGAAACCTTTTGTTCGGTTGGTAGATAGTGATTTATCAATGATATGAGCAATTTGAAAATTTGAATGAGACGGTCTATTGATTTGAAGTAACTCTCTTTATTGAGGGTGGAGCGATAAGCTATTAAATTCAACCTAGTTACAGGGGAAAAGAAAAGTGAATGAATTCGAAAATAAATCAAATGAAGTGAAAATCCAATTTTTTCAAAATGAATTCTCTTCCGTCACAGTAAAATTATTTAAATTATTAATAATCATGGTGAGATCTTCAGAGGACGTTATTTTCAGCTGGTGCCTGCTTTTTTGTCAGCTGAGCTGTCATTTTGGCAATAAAACCAAAAGCTCCGCCCTCTAAAATCAAAAGCTACATCTTGAGTACATTCCGACCTCTGAGTTGAGGGAAACGAAAACAATTTCATTTTTTTAAATCATGTGTTTCATAAAATCATTTTTTTTTGAAGAAAATAATCACTGATAATTGCACATCATCTTAAATTGGATTGCATTTTATAATTTTTGCAAATCCGATTTAAAGTTGACTTCAGCATTTATGATTTCATCAATTAGTCGTGATAATTTATTTTATAAATTGTTAACTAGATATAAAAAAGCACACTTGCTTTTTTGCCGTTTAATGTTGACGAGTTTCACCATTTTTGGTTTTTTAATGACGTTTGTCTCATGATGAAGACTATCGCGATTACAATGTTGTTGAAGTCTATATTTAACGTAAGCATAAACAATCAAAAATAAATTGAGCTTGATGCTTAAAACTTATTTATAAAAGCCAAGAGCCGCCTTAAATTTTTTACTCTACCAATTATGTTTGTAAGAAAAGAAGAAACTTGATTTAGAAGAAGTTAGAATCTGAAAAAAGTGATGAAACTATTGGACTAAACGGGAAAAATGACAAGAGATTCTGTTTAAAGCTTGACAACACGTAGATTGGTGCTTTCCTGCTATTATTATTTTCTACTCCTGATTTAACTGTTCAATTAGCGCACTAACTTTTTTAGATTGTGGAGAGTTCAACAACACCAATGCATTCGGCCAAGGCTTCAGGTTACCTCCCGGAGGTTCGGAGAGTGTAGAGAAAAAGTCAAAAGACGCATCCTCGACTGAAGTTGCACTGAAGGAGTCAGCTCCTGGCCCGTCCGGCCATTCGTCAACCAGGATGAATGCAGATCTGAGGTGCCACTGGAGGATTGTTGGACCCCCGGACTATGATAAATTCATGGTGACCATAACTAGTTTCCAGATCAACCCCCTATCTAATACGGGCGGTGAGTTAGAATGAAGTTTAGACACTTATTGGGGCGTACTTAATTGCAATATTAATCAAAATTAATATATTTGCCAGCGACCAGCAACCAAACCGTCTTCTGCCTTTGATCCTGAGCAACAAATTTGATCTCAAACGTTTCATGGACTTACCAAGCATTTAAAGGAGGCTAAATTGCATTGGAACTAATATTTTTTAAATGTCGCCAATTGGCGCTTGCGAGCAATTTTGGCCGTTCTTGTCCCATAAAAAGTGAGGTATCAAATTGAGTATTTTGTTGTCGAGATTCTGGTTTAAAAAAAACCTTTTAAAAGTTTTTCTGTATCCAATTTGATCTCAAGTCATTGATCTTTTGAACGCATATCAACCCTTTTCTACGTTTTCCCATAAATCGGGGCGAGGTCTCGCTGTTAATGATCGCTCGATAGTTCTGTTTTAGTTCAGTAAAAGATACTTCAACCGCTAGCAAATCAAAAAAAAAATCTGATTTTTGTTAGATTTTTGAAAATTACCAGAATTAGATTAGAAACTCAGCCTAGAATTTACTGTCTGAAAATCATTAGTCTGAAGAACGGAACTATTCCGATCAGTTTTTCTCGTCACTGCTTTTTGATATTTTAAAAAAGTCCGAATCATTATATGATCTCTCTTGCCTACGAGCTTTCTTTGATGATCAAAATTAGCCGGAGAAAATATATACTAGTCGATAGTTCCTGCCTACTTAAAGCGGTTGGACCAGTATGAGTATTCGGTTGCTGTGAAAGTAGCTGGGAAAGTTAGTTACAGTTATTGTAAAAATCAAAAAAAAATAAAACTCGTTATTTTATTTTTTTTCAAGTTTGTCGTTTTTTGTGCAGGGTGTGGGAAGAAAAGCTAAAATTAAACCTTAGAACCTTGGAAATGGCCTTTGTTGAAAGTTTTTTTTATAAAACTGAAAGTTTAAAGGAAAAAACTGGCCGACCATAAAGATTTTCCATGCGCTTCCAGAACACTATAAAAAACCTATTTTGACAAAACTTTCTACACCGTAGGGAAAATAAAAAAGGCCCTAAGTGCCGTGTTTGGGCATTTAAATCTTTTTCTGACCATAAATTGCGTTATATTTGCACCAAAGGTTGCTTAAGAAAAATTTCAGAGTTGGTCCTAGAATATGGTTATCATAAAAATACCAAGGGGGGACCCTTTTGTTGGCGAGGGGGTCGAAAAAAGCTTTGGTTTATGTACATGTTTTGTGTAAAATGTTTTTAGTTTTGTCAATATGTACACTAGCCAGCTTGCGAGCGTTAGTGTACTAGTCTGAACCTTATTTTTTAAACTGAACTCGCTCATAAAAGTACTCATTTGGTGGCACTTTGCTATAATCATAATCTGTAGCGTTAAAAATTCCATAGCATCTGTTGTGTTTTATTTGAGGATAGTGTTTACCGCCGATTGTAAAGCGTCCGTGGCTGAGAAGTTAGGGTGTAAGATTCTTGATCTCTAGGTCGCAGGTTTGAATCCGTCGTTTGGCAGAATTTATTTTACCAATTCCAGGCTCATTTCTATGCTTTTTCGTCGTTTTCTTGGTAGTGTTTCCGAGGCGCAGCTTCTTTGTATTCAGTTTGTGTTTCGATTTTTATGTTATTTTCGATTTTTATGTCGATACTATTTTCAATTTTAAAATTTCTATGCTTTTCGAGCTTCATGCTTGTCGATACACCGCCGATGGATGTAGTAAAGACTCGTATATAGTTCTTGATGATTTTTGTTATCAGGTAAAAGTTTTTTCTTACACTAAAATGGTTGTTCTTGGTTTGACTTCTATTTGTTTTGAACTCACTTGCTTCAGTTGTTGAAGGGACACCAAACTCCACTATCGAACAGGAAAGTGTAATGGTCACAAAAACATGGTCGAATTTTACGTTCGAGTGATTTCAAATTTCGATTTTCCAGCGAAATAAAAATAACTTGTTAATTCAGTTTCTCACATTGGATTATTATTTGAAAGTCTTAATCATAAATTGATCTCGAAACTGAAAAAGCGTTAATGGCTATGTTTAATTGTGTACCTGAGTTTGCGAGGAAATAGCAGTAAAAAAACTTGAGATACCTGATTACAAAGTTCCTTGCCACGGTCTTTTGTTGGAGCAAAAAACGAGAACAGCAATCCTGCTAGATACATTGTTCTCATTGATGAATCAGAAAATAATTTTTGTTTCGAAATATTTTCAAAATTTAATACTTTCAAAATTTTTTCTAAATCGTCCAAAGCGTTTTTATTCCGTTTTTTCTCAAAAGGTCCGGGAATACAATGAAGGTTCCTACGCTCTATATATTAAATATTTAAAAAAGTATAAACGCTTAAGTTTGAAAATCCAGAAAATCAAATTTTTCGGAACCTAGTCTTAAGATAAAAATTTTTGTTGTGAATCGGTATTTCGATAGAATTTTTTTTGGTGCAAAAACCATAGCAAGTAGAAACACTCTTTTTCAGGAGATTAAAAAATAAAGCAGATCTGTTTTAACGTGCGAATCTTATCAGCTTAGGAAGTTTAATGAAACTGTGCGAAGGTGTTTATCCTTCACCATATTTAAAGTGGTTGGCAATCTCCATGTCCTCAATGATATCATTTCAAAGTTTTTCAGCACGTAGAATCAAAGTAACGTACCTAAATAAAAATCAAAGCCTGGATAATTTAGCATGGAAATTTTGCTGTAACTTGAAAACCATCCGCTGTAATATCAAAGCATTTTTTTTACGTTGAAGCGCTTTCAAGATCGTTAAGTGACATCATCTAAGCAAATTTAACCTTGGGAGCGTTTTGCAAGTAGACGCGAAAGTTTCTTGTGTATTTTAATGATTTAAGTCTAAAAAATACGAAACGCGCGAGAAAGTTTTCAGTTTTTTAAGCTGATTTGGTTCCACTTTGCAAACATTAAGGGCAGTGGTTTTTCTAAGCTGGTTATTTTGAAACTGTGGTTTTCAGAGACGATGCAAGAGCTAGAGTCAGACGATCCCCCCAAGCGAGGTACACCTGGATGGTCCATATCTCTGAAAGAGCCAGTGGGACTCAAACTGTTTGACGGGATGTTTTCCAGTTCTCCGGTTCTAACAGAACACCTGGTGACAGACCCTGTGCAGCCGGGAAACAGACCTCAGTTCTATCTGACATCGAAGCCCAAAGTGAGAATAGATGTGTCATACCCTACTCAAACTTTGGGTACAATTGGATTCGGCTATGCAGCCATTCGTCTGCTAGATCCACAGTCGGAAGACACTTGCCACGCCTATAATGAGTTCAAGTTAGTCAATAAAATTCGAGCTCCTTTTTATTTTCCATTTAGATACTACCGTACCATTTAGGTGCTACCTTACCAAAAATAGTTTTTTATATACTGGGTTTCAAGTCGATCATAGATTGATCACATCAGGTGTGATTTTTAAAATGTTTTCTGTTAATTTTTATTCTTTTCCTAAGTTATCCACAACCCTATAAATGTTTCCTCTGCTTAAAGTTACGATATTCTACAGGTGTTCCGGAGTAACGATTGGCGATAAGGCATATGGAGACAACCCAGTGAAGTTTGCGGTGGGCGACTATTGCATCCACCGACAACTTGTCTGCGACGGGGTCCCCAACTGCATTAAGGGAGAAGACGAAGAAGAAAAAGGGGTGTCAAAGTGTGGCAGCGAAAGTGAGTCTTGATTTAAATTAAGTTCGTCTAGTCGGACCCGTTTCTCTTAATCTTCCACTGGAATTGAGATGTAATGGTAATAAATGATCTCAATTTTGGATTTCTTCTGAATTATCAGCTGGCCATTAATTGCATGATTGAAATAGTTAACTATAACTCGAGTCGGTTTTCCAATAATTTAAAAGTTATGTTTTCCCCCCAGAGGATTGTCATTGATCATTTCTGTTTGATTGCATTAGTTCTACGAAACTGAAACGCTGCAATGAGAAATAATTTGTTCTGAAAAGTTCGAAAGTAGAAAACTTTCAAAAAAACTTATTCTCTGGTATTTGTCATCAAAAAGTGTTTTCTTAAATTGTTAGATAAGCAGGCAACACTGCCTGCTGTACGCTTTAACAATTTTCAATTAGCTGCTTTGTTGGCTATTCGCATGGCAGAAGGAACGATTGCGCGAAAACGTTCAACCAATCAGCGTGCTTCAAATTGTCGAAAACCGACTGATTTTCCAGCTTAAAATTTGCAGATTTTCAAATACTAAATTTTGATTGCCTAACATAGGTTCTTCTGCCTTAAGGGTTGCACCAGCTGCTTGCTTACAGTTGCAGCAAACGAAGGCGTATTAAATACTTTTTAAGTTAACGAAGTGATTGTCACTTATATAGATGGTGATTTTTTTAGGAAAGTTTTGTTCACGCTCGATTTCATTGTTTCCCGGTTTGATTTCTGGTTTACTTATAAGAGTCAATCAAAAATTCTATAAATACAAAGAGTTTAACTTGATATATTGTTTTCTTGTTCTTTTCCAACCATCCATATTTTATCCAACCATACGGAATTTTGTTCCCAAACAGTGCGAAAACCACTGATTATTCAAGAGGATCTTGTTTAATTTAGTACAAGTTCTTGCAATCAGATCAAGCGTTTTCTTCACAACCTTAATTTACTGATTCCCTTGACTGATTCTGAATATCACAATGTATTTTTGGAGGAGACGCTGCAAAAATGGTTGATATAAATGATGTTTACCCATATTTGGCCTGTAATATCTCACTCCCAAAGTACTGCAATGAATATAGGGCAAAACGTGTCAACAATTTAAGAGAAGCGCAATGTTTTCAGACTCTTCAATTTCTGTGCTATTTTTGAGCTTTTTGTGCATCGACTAGGGTGTCAATAACCTGAAGAAGTGGTGCGTTTTGGTCACTTTAAAACTGGTGCTGATGAAATAGAGGCTTGAACAAGATCAGAGGTTTATCGCTTTCAAGATTATACCGTTTTTTTGCTTTCAAGATTATACCGTTTTTTCGACAAAAGTTCAAGCTACTGCGATGCAATACCGCTTCTTTGTTTTCTAAATCAAACAACCTTTGTATTATGGTCTTCATTTTCAGAATAGACTTGATCTCGATTAATATTTCTGAAAGCCAAGCCAATCAGCTTTGATGGTATTTTTGTTTCACTTCAACTGCAAGCGGCAAAGGCTTTGATTAACAATTAATGAACGGTTTTCAAAAGTAGAATAGAATTGCAGCTGGCCTCTGAAGACAATGTAATAGTTAGATAAAGCAAGCTAGCTGCAAAATATATCGCCGAATTTGCAAAAATGGTTGCAAGTTCGATCGCTAATTTTGCAAATTGTCTGTCATTCATTGATGATGGTGAGCGGCTGACCGTGGAGTATCAAGCAATTATATAGCTAGGCTGAGATAGAAAATCAATTTTTTTTTTGTATCGATGAATGATATCGCAATTTTTATTTACAAAAAAATTTTCAATGTTGCTATATTTTGTTTATAATCCTTGAACGAACATCTAAAAATGCAGACGTATTTGCGAAAAACATTTACATGTATTGTCAATTAGGCTGTAATTGTTTTTTTTTTTTGGGGGAGACCTGGATTAAAATTATTTTGTTTACTACAATAAAAACATTGTAAGCTATAATAAAAGTTTATATAGATACCCAGTATTGATTCTGCTCCCTTGAATAATAGTTTTAAAAAAACATTTTCAGAAAAAAATTATATGCATTTTGAAAACATTTTTGTATTTCTTCACAATAACATTCATAGAAAAATGTGAGATAAAATTTTTTTTTGTGCTGTGGTGCAGATTGCTTTGTTTGTCTGTCTGCTTAACCCGAAGCAAATTTAGGGGCTTTTGAGCTAGCGTCAACAGAATTTCGACATCTGATTCAATATGGTTCCTCCTGCTTTTGTGAAAGTAAATTGCCCTCGGCTATGATTGCAATTCAGATTTCGTCTACTTGGAAAAAAGTGGAGGGCAGGTTTTCTGGAGATTGTTTGAATGCTCGGTGTTGAATTCACGAAGTGGTAAATCAACTTAATCGAATCGTGTTTTTTTTTTCGAGAAAAAAGTCTTCGTTTTTCACGTTCTATTTTGATTTTTGTCTGTTTGACTTTTGATTCGTTTTAAGTTTAGTTCAAATTCACTTTCTAAAAGAAGGGCAAAATAAGCTCCTCAAAAATAAAAGGGGAAATGGTCCAAAAAACGTGAATGACTAAGTTTCAAAAATGGACTTTAATTTTCAGCGTTCCTCAGTGGATTAGAAAGGCACCCATTCGCCCAGTTTTCTCATTGATTTAATTTATCGAAAATGGTTAATTGTAAAAAAAATGATTGAAGTTCAATTAGCTGTAAGGTGATTTAATTTTTCTCGAAAATTCAAAAGTTTAATGAAGTTCAAATGCGCAAATATTTTTGTTTGGTTTCCTTGCGCTAATTCGCGTTTTTCCAATTGACTGTTGGCGATGTTATTTAGTTCCAAAATTTGAACTACTTTTTTTAGTTCAAATGGCCTGGATTTAATCGTTTGGGTTCTCAAATCGAAGCAGAATTTAGTTCTTATTTGAAGTTGACAATTATGCCAGAATGTACACGTTAAAATTATGTCATATTCCTTCCAACCCGCTATCATTTAATCAAATTGACACTTGGTTTACTTCGAACACCTGCAAGTCTTGCTTTTTTGGGCTCCCTCTCACTCTCTCCGGCTGACGGAAAGAAGTAATCTTAGGTCGCTCGCTCTATGATTTTAATAATTCACAGGATTTACCCAGTTTAAATTGTCCCGAAGCTGCTTAGAAACGTGAATAAGTTACTTGAGTGGCGTGGATATTTTTAGATATGTGATACAAAAACAAGATTACGCTAGAAACTACTTATGGCCTTCGGCTGTCTATAAATTAAATTAACCGTATAATATGGCTAGTAATAAATTAAAAGTTAAGCCTGAAAAATTAGCTGCTACAAATATATAATCTGATTATCAAGGCCAAAAAAAGCTATTCAAAATAAAACCTAGAATTTTTTGCAAACATGCCGAAGTTAATTAATTGTTCCTTGCAACGGATTTTATGCCCATGGAAACAAGGTTATTATCAAATTGAGATATCTAGCTGAGGAAATCATGGCCAGCTAAGATTTGAATTGAGAGAGACGATGGTTGCTTACGTAAAGTTGAAATAGAGAAAGAAGTTCTTGACAAAAGCTCCATTTTCGACACGCTTGATTAGTGGCTGCAACGTTTTGGTGCAACTTTTCCTGTCTGCAGAATTAAGGGGTTGGGTTAGAAATATGACTAGTCCTTTCTGTGATTACATGTAAGTTTAATCTTGAATAATTTTCTTTTTGTTTTCAGAAGTTGACGTTTTTATTATAATGTCCATTAATATTATACTAGTTTTGTCATAAAATAACTAAAATAAGTCTTTCCGCCAGCCTTTTGTCTGCTATTAAGACTTTCTCCGCCCAAATACATGGCGGATTTTTGCTTCGCTTGACTAGTTTTGGTTCACATTTAGCTAGGCGCCTCTTGTTTATTAGACTAACTGTATTGAATCAACAAATTCTAAGTTTAATGCTGGCTATTTAGGCATTTTCCTCTGCTTTCTTTTTAAATTTGCAAAATAAGAGCATGATCACTTATGTTATCATGTTGGGTACTACGGGGAGAACGTGAAATAGATAATGAATGATTCTTTGTTAGAAGAGTATCAACTAGATTTTTTAGGATGCAAAGGACTAAGAGCCTAGTTGTTTTTGGACAAGATATTACTCCAAAAGCAGCAAGCAGCTCTTGTATGCAACCCAAGAAAAAGAGGGAAGAATTTGTTACAATCTCAATTATTAGTTACAATCTCGAAGATTTTGCGTTTAAGGAGTTAAGTTTTTGTCGGGACAAGTGCTGCTTAAAAAAAGATTGAAAGTCATGTAGTTCGAAAATTATATGAATCCCTGTTTTCAATTTTTCTAGCCGTGCGTAGAATATTTGAAAAAATATTTAAATTTCAGTTGCATCGATTTTTTTTTAGAAAACCATCAATATAATTTTTTTACCCTTTGCGATCAGCAAGGGTAACGTAACCGGAAACTAAGATTTTTTCCGTAAATAGTTTTGCGAACAAAGTTCGTACATGATGTTTTAGGTGACTCATATTCAATTCAAATCCAAAGACGTTTTCTGTACTTATAGGATAGATAGCACTGATGCTTTGGGTACTTCAAAGGTTCTTACTTTCCAATTCCTGATTTTTCTTTTTACACTTGCGAAGCAAAGTGTATTAGTACGAACTTTCTTTTGGTGGCATTTTTGAATCGGTAGGCTGCAGTAGCAGTATAATATCATATGTGCTTTGACATTCGATGAGTAAAAAGTTAACACAGCTGATGCATTTTTAATTCATGGAATGAAACGAAAAAAAAGTTATGTTTCTCGCAATAAATTGGCTTTCGGTTTTCCAATTTGTTACATGCAAAATTGTGTCTTTTTGTATTTCGCTAATTTTGCTGCATGGAATTGGCAATTTTTTAGCATATGTAGCTGCGTTATTGGTGGATAGTTTGAGATTTTATGCATGAGTGGATAGTGCTGATTCGAATCCGACACGTAGCCGAGTTTTGCAAATTCGAGGCTTATTTTTACCTTTTCTTATTCACTTGATAAAGCTACTTTTTGGTAGTGGTCTTGCAAGTTTTTGCGAAGCGCAGCTTCGCTTCTGTGTACAATAATTGAAATTCAGTTTACATTGTTCGTTTTCGCTTCAAAGATTTCTTTGGCTGGTGTTAGATCTGTTTAGATGGCTCACCAAAGGTCGCACGGAGGTCAAAATAGGATTTTTTATGCTTCTGTGCGATTTGAGGCTTCTGTGTGAAACAAGTAAAAATTTCGACTTTCAAAACTTTTTATAGATGGAAATTTCATGACACTTTTTCGATCAGCGAATGTCTACTCAAGTTTTGTCTGCTCAGTTATCGCTCGATAAATTTTTCTCTTTACTATTGACAATTGTTTCAAGTGTTGTCTGTCAACTAAATATTCGGACTATCGTGTGCCTGCTATTTTACCGCTGCAACTATGTTTAAGAGTACTGAACGTTATACAGTGTTTTAAAGACAAAAGTTTGTTGAGATGCATAAGAGGCTCACTTTGATATAATTGTCGAAGATCAACTAAGACTCTTATTTAGGTCATGGTGATTTTTTTTTCTGGAAAAAGTGTTCAAATTTGTTCACGCTCAGTTTTGAGTTTTCGCGGTGTGACTTAAGGTCAGTACGTTTTCATTGTTAAAAGGAAGGCAAACTCCTTATCAAACACCAAAAGTGTAAAGGTCACGAAAAACGTGATCGACTTCTAGTTTCGAAAGTGCAATTTAATTTTCAGATGTCCCAGCAAAATTAAATCTTTAGTATTGATCCAGTTTTCTCAAATTGGGTTCATTGCATCAAAAACTCAATCATAAATTGTTTTAGACTTTCAAGAACGTTTAAGGCCATCTATTTCTTTCTTCGAAATTCGAAGGATGAGATTTTATCTGTTTCTTCGCGTCAATTACTCTTTTCCAACTGTCAGTTGGCTATGTTCGACTTAGCAGTCCTAATGTTCCAACATTCCTAATTGAATTTCTAGATTTTGTGTAATTTCCATTTTTGTTATTGATTTTTTTTTCGTTTGCATTGAAATTTTCTTCGGCTTAATGGGTTCCGGTTTGTGTTAATTAGAATAAGTCGCGTCATATTGAATCGTTCGAAGAGCTAAAATGTTTTTAATACACGTGCGTGATTTGGGGAGCGTAGAAATTTGGGTTCCAAAACGTAACGAATATTCTATTATAGGTTTTCGTGATTTTAACGTTTGTTAATTTTTCAGGAAAGTTTTTTGAAACGCTCGAATAACTACAGATGTGCATTCATACATATTAACGCATGTATGGGTGCTTTTAGGTTTATATCCTTTATTGAAATCAATTCAATTTCATCTGCTAAAAGTTATATAAACTGGGCTCTCCAAATACCAAACTGGAAATGGAGCAGAAAAACTAGAATGACTTTTAGTTTCAGAATTATGATTTTGTTTTTGGAGTCCCCAGCCAGCAGAATAAAAATTTTGCCCAAAGAATTATTTTTCTGAAATCGGCTGTTTCATCAACAAATGGTCATAAAAAAGTTATTGAGTTTCCAAGGGATTTAGGCTTTATATATATATATATATGTTTTTGAAGTTCGAAATTCAGTAATTCGAGGGGTGATGTGTTTTCAAAAACAAGTCAGTATTTTTGTTTCTACTTCTTTGCGTTCACGGATTTTTTGCAAATTTATGAGGGCCATGTTTGTAGATTTTGTTGCCAATTTTGTCTCAATACTTTTGTTATGATGGCAATTGTGTTGAGTTTAAGTTGTATCGAGAATCGTCTAAAAATGATAGTTGTTGTTTTTTTTTTCAATTTTTAAAATAAATTTTTCGACTTTCTGGCTTTCGCTTTACTTTCGTCTAGCTTGCCATGCTATATTAGTCTTGTATCATCAGTGATATGAAGCTTGTTCTTACTGTTGCGTTTTTTCAGATGGTTGAGTATCACACAGGGAGTTGAAAGAAGTTACTGAAAATTTCTACTCATAAAAGTGTTTTACATCAGAGCGTAAAATATGGCTCCTCTCAATTTTATACTGTGCGCTAAAAGACTACTTCGAATAAGTACTACTAAACAAGCAATTTTCTTCTACAAGTAATTTTTATAATAATTGAAATTTGTTTTGATTTAATTGTTTTCGCTTCAAAGATTTCTTCGGCTTATTTAAGATCTGCTTTGATGGCCCATCATACGTCGTTTGAAGGTCGAGATTAGATTTTTTATGCTTCTCTGTGATAAAATAACGTAATCTGAAACAAAATCTATCGTTTTTCTTTCGGTTTATACGGGCAACAAACTATTGACATACTTGAATCCATATAAATATCCGAAAGGCTTCCATTATTAGTAGAAAAAAATTTTTTTCACTGGTACCGTTTCACAGCCACAAATTCTGACTGAACAATCCTAAAATTTATATCAAGACGGGCTTAACAAAAAAAATACAACAAACTTGCGAACATAGCCAACAGACAGTTGGAAAAGAGTCAATGAACGCAAGGAAATAGAAAACAAAATGGCTTCTTTTTGAAATATCTTAAATTTTAAAAAATACATACATAAATGGCCTTAACCCTCTTTTGATTTCAAGACAATACGTTTTCCAGATGGTCGAGTTTCGCACAGGGAGCCGAAAGAACTGCTCAGAAGTTACTCACTAAGAAGTGAGAATTTCTACTATCAAAGAGTTTTACATCAGAGCGTAAAATATGGCTCCAGTCAATTTTATACTGTTTGCTTAAAGACTACTTCGAATAAGTACTACTAAAAGAATACCTATTTAAACTAGTTAACTTAGTTAAATTTTCGTTCTCAGAAAACGATTTAAAATGCCAAAACCCTTTTGTCTTCTGAGCTGACATTACTCATTAATTTGTTTTTTTTTAATGCTTTGTTTTGTTTCGACAGCTTCGCTCTTATTGTGGAGATGTTCATGTTGAATTTGGTAGCTTTAAATTCAAATAACTTGTATTTCAACAACTGTTTTATTAATAAGAGAACGTGGAATTTTTCTTTCGGTGCCTTGGTTTTATGATATTAGTTATGAATGATTTATTAGAATTCTGAAAGATAAGATTTAAGAAATGGTGAGATGTTTGTTTACCAGGTTGAAGTGTTCTTCCTTCTGCAGTATTTGCAAAAGAAGAAAGCAAAATTTATATCAGAATTATAGAATTATACCAATTTCATGCTACTACCTACGAATTAATGATCCGATTTCATTTTCAATAATAGTTTGGAGAAACTAGTTGCAGTAGTAGAAATAGGTCAGCCAAATTTCGACCTACTTAAGCAGAAAGAATAGATTAAAATAAACAATTTTGTCCTGTATTTTGCTCCAGTACTAGTGCTTTCCAGGTATTTTTCCGGAGCAGCTCTGGTTTCAGATCATAATACCCGTTCCTTTATCTCATAAATTTGGCTTAAGTTTGATATTGAAATGTAGGTGATCGTGATGGCTCGCATATTCGACAACTAATCGAATACGCGACTGTGCCTGAGATTCGAAAAGGGCGATCTCTCGAGTGTGATAATAGAAGTAAGCATTGGTTGGTTTTTAAACAGTTCTAAGTGGTAAAGAAGACAAATTGCATGAGTCTGCAATATGTAAAATTTTAGTTCATGAAACTGCTGGAGAAATAGCTTGTCTCAAAGTTGGATATAGATTGAGTCAAGTCATGTAATTGTTGTGATTGTGCCAACGATCTCATTTCTAAATTGTGTATTTTAAAGAGCCGAAGCATTTTAGCAATCGCAGACCAATTTATAAGAATTTTACCCAAATAACTTCTGGAGCTTTTTTTTGTCGAAGAAACAATTGATTGAATACATCTATTTGTATTTGAATTAACCAATGGACGATTCCATGGTTGTTTTGAGTCACGGGTTTCTTGTACTCATTGTTGAAAAGAGTCCAAAAAATGCCTTAAAAATGCACGTAACTTTTACTCGGAAATATAGATTTTTTTAACAGTCAGCTAGTACAATTTTCTTTCTCTCGTGAATAAAGAGTATTAATCCCATTGGTTAATTAATTAAGTTATTTTAAGTAATTTGGTTGTTTTAGTGAAATGGCAACCCGAAAATGTTCCTGCAGAGGGTCTGGGAGGCCTGACAGTTGCCCTGATAGTGGTTGTAGTCGTCTTAGGAATTGCAATGACTCTGTTCGCTGTACTATTTATGGTCAAGAAGCTCAGATCGTCTTCAGGAGGTGGTTGTCCTGGATCGAGAGGCTCAAGTAGAAATGCAGACCAGGATAGCAATGTTTTGTCTTCTACAAATCCAGCTACGAATTCAAGTACCTTCAGCTCACAAGGTTGGTTCAAACAATTACAAGCCAGAATCTTAAAAAGCCTTATATATTCCGACTTCTTGAAATGATCAGAAGTAACTGGCAGTAGGTAGGTAGCCTTTAAGGTGGCCTTTTTTCCAGCTGTGGAAAGATCAAACTGGTCTTCAAAACCTAAATTAACCCGTTATTTTATTAAGAGTCGAACGTAATGAAAATTCTAATGAAAGTCGTGATTATTTTTTTCCAGGAAATGTTTTGAAATTTGTTCAGGCTTGAATTTACTTTTTAGCGTTTTGATTGTTGATTACTTTTTAAGTTCAGTTCATTTCCTTGTTAAAAAGAAAGCAAACTCCACTATCGAACAGTAAAGTCACGAAAAACGTGATCAACTTCTAGTTTTGAAAATGTCGAAAATGTCTCTTGGCTATGATTCAACTCTAGCACACATCCCACACAAAATTAATTTTTTAGCTGGTCAATGCTTCTTCCTAAGAGAGTTAGTTAAACCTCGGTATTTTTCTGGTATCCATTATCCGGTATACAAATCAACAAGATTAATTACGATATATATGCAATGCAAAAACCAAGTTTTTAGGTGGCAGTGTTCAAAAAATGGGCCCTCAAAGAGATGCCTCCAGTGATCAAATTAAGTCAGTTTAAATTTAAATACAGTTTCAAAGGAGCTGTGAAATCTTTTTTTCTAGGCCAAACAAATGCAATTCTCAAAATTCCAATTAAAAAAGGAAGGAAGTTATATGAAAAGTAGGTGAAGGTATATTCATAAGCAAGTTGCTCTTTTTCAGTATTTGATGGGACAGAAGCGGCTTTGTTTTTCCGCAACTGGCCCAAATACCGACGACGCTTAAATCGAGGTGCCTCTCTTCTAAAACCTTCTGTACTCTCTTCTCGTTATACTTCGCGTTTTCTGTCTAATTTTCATGTGAAGTAAGATGCTGACAACTGGCCATTTTCGATGGCTTGATTGATGGTTTGTTTCTAGTTCACAGGCGTCTAATCGTCTTGTTATACTAGTTAGAGCAATTATAATACTTACAGAATATGTAATCTAGTCGGGTTCTGCTGTGGTTTGAACTCGAAACTCTTGGCCTTTCTTAATTGCAACCAAGCTTTTATCATCTTGAGTTTTTTAAAATTTAATAACACTAAGATGCATATTCAAACATCACCAGTTTAGATTTAAAAAAAACAAACAAGGATAGCCGGTTACTGTGAAAATTGCACAGAATGTTCCGACCATAGTCCTAGCAAAAATAATAAAAATGTGGTGTAAGAAAAGATTTGAACAAAAAAAACAGAAATTAGGCTTATTCAACAGTCATAGTGGAATAGGCCAATTGGAAAACAGTGTTTGTATAAAAAGACGTGAAACAAAATGAAGAAATGTTTGTGAAAAATTAATAAAGCCAGGGGCGGATTGGGGGGGGGGGGGGCGTCCCCCTCAGGGATTCGACCTCCTGCCGACCCAAAGGGTCCTCCTTTGTACTATTTTGAGATATCCATATTTGTCGACGGACCCTAAAATTTTTCTAAAGGCGCCTTGGGCGCCAATATACTAATTTTGAGTGGGTAGCGCGCGCCGAAAAAAACGCGATTTTTTTGGTCAAATTTTTCCAAACATTGCCTAAAAATGCCTTTTTTTGGCCTGTTTTGCCTGCGGCGCAGAAAATTGTATCCCCAAAGAGGGTCTTTTTAGTGCTTTGGAAGAGCTCTCGGGGATTCAATTTAGTCGACCTAAAACAAGGTCGACGAAATTTTCGGAATCTTTTTGTGAATCCTCCCCCCTTGAATACCTTAGATCCGCCCCTGGATAAAGCTATTGTAGACTGCACGCTGTAGAAGTTCGACCAAAAATCAAAAATTTTAAACAGATTTTATTCGATAATGAGAAATTTTTTTGAAATTTTCATATGTTCGAATTTAGACTGAAAGGGCTTTTATATGATATATAACTCGACCGATTCCGATGATTATTTGTGGTACCTGATTTTGCGTGGAAAATAAAAAGCAAAAAAAAAGAAAAAACTCGAATGCTAAGTTCCTCGGCATTTTTCAAATGGTCTGATCAACAAAAATAGCAGTTAGCTGTGCATAAAAAAAATGTTTTTTTTTGGTTTGAAGCGAATCGATATAATTTAGTATTCATTTATTTTTTAATTTATTGAAACTCAAAAAAATGTTTTAGAGGTTTCCTTGACACTTTTTGCTTCTGAATGTGGGCTATATTTTGCTAAGCCCCAACCCCGCGTTTGTGACTTTGATGTGGGAATATGCTATTTCCAGTTGAATAGAGTTTTTTTTTCGTTTTCCGCGGAGCTTACCAAGCTTTCATTCTTTATGAATGGAAGCAGATGGTGAAACATTGTAAATAATCCTATAGGTCAAAAAAACGACGTGAAAAGATTAATTAAGTCATTTCATTTCCGTTTCACTAGCGCGGATTTTTTTGAAGTCTCCTTTCTAGTTTGCATCAAGAAAACCATGTTTAATCTCAGAGAGTAAGGAGCAGTTTATTGCCTGCTATGGGATATCATTCGCATTTTTTTTCTGCGAAGTCTTTCCTTCAAAAATGCTCCTTCAGAATCGGCAAATTTTATATGATAGTTTTTTGCTGATAGGCTGTTTATATCCGACAGTAGTTCAGGCAATGAAAAATTGCAAAAGTTGGCAAACAAAGGAAAATTTCTTCCTTCAGTTATATAAAAATTACCTTCCGAATTTGACAACTGCATCCTGCATGCTTTCGCTGCATTCTTGATGTTTTTTCTCCTAATTGGAGGAAAAAATACGAAAAGTTTGCAAAGGAAAAATAACATTGTCACAGTGTCTCCTTATACATGAACCTTCAAAATTTCCCTGGATCTGAATAAATAATTAAAGTTTATGATAAAAATAAACAATGGAATAGAGGCTTAAACTTGCACCTAATGTTTTCCACTCCATATGGTATTATTGCGTCATAATGGAACGTTGCATTTGATAATTGAAAGGCGGCATCGCTCGATTAAGATGAAAGGAAAAATACACATCCGATGCGAAATTGTCCTTCATTTCTTCTGGACGACAAACAGAAAAGCCAAAAAAAAATTCCACTAGTTAACATCTATTATTAACAAAAAAGAACAATTAATGAATTGAGCAATAAAATACGAATTTCTTGAAAAAAGATCCGCTTCAGTTGATTTGGTACGTTTATTTTTAAAGGTTTATAAGATAATCAGAAGTTTCGTGAACTTCAGGTTTTCGTCTCAGTAGTTTCATTTTCGGCTTTTTGGCACTTCTGCTGGCGTACAATTGGTGGTTAAATAAGATCCTACATCCATCCTCTTAGATCTCTATTGGGACGATAGAGACTTGGAGCTTAACTTATCAGTTTTTATTAATACAGCATTCCTGTTCTATCAACGTCCTCCCATCCTTAGCTTAACGCCTTATTTTTTCTCTTTTTTCTTTTGCTTTGTTGTTATGTCGGGTTAGGAAGCATGAGGATAGACTTATCGAGTCGCAGTGACTACACCCAAGAAATTTGTTTTAGCTTCCGCGTGCTGTTGTTTTTGAAACGCTAAGATGCTTTAAGAAAGATTAAATTCTGTTAATTTTTGATGTTTATATCAGGTGTTTGCGGAATTATATAAATTTTTTGCAAATGAAAGGAAACTTGATAAAAAGTCATTAGCAAATTTTTATTTTTTTTCTGTCTGGTGGAACGGTTTTTGATCCCCATATAAAAGATTCCATTTAATGTTCGGACTACTGAAGGTGTGAAATTTCCGATTTAGGTTATTGATGCTGATATAAATCCAGATTGCTGTCAATGAACTGCATAGTGTTGCTTCTATGTCTAGTAAAAGTTCAAACAATAGCGTAAATAAAAATCAGATGTTGTCAAGTAATTTGGCTTGATAAATTAATTCCGAATCTTTATTCAGTTGAAGTTGAATCAGCTGCGTTGTGATACAATAACTTATTACTGTTTGATGTTGTAGGTCATCAGAATGGACATGTGAATGCGGGACAGCGACACTCTAGCAGCAGTTCGGCGGGTGGGCGCAACAGTCGCCACAGTTCAGGTGATAATTCCGGAGGTGTTCATCAGTCGAACAACCCAATCGTTGAACACGATCCACACGTCACACCCCAGCCGATCTACATTGCGACGAGATACACCCAGCCCGGGCCCCCTCCCTATGATATGCTGGGCTATCATAGCAATAGGCTCCCTTCGGTGGACGAGGAGAACGAGGCGGATTTTGGTGCTACGGACACGACCGATGCACACGACAGACTGTTCCTGCTGCGCTATGATTCGGGTAAAAATGACTCAAGTCTCAGCTAGCGAGAAACTGTGACAGTTATCCTGGTAGCCTACAGCGCAGAGGATTGTTAAAAAACTTGTATATTAACCAAAACTTGAAAAATTACAAAACATTCTATTAAATTAATTACAAAGTTGTTATGTTTTGTCGCTAAAAGCGTTAGAACGATTGTCAGCAAACTGCCCTTTCCTCGTGTGTTCCTATACGTGTTTTATCTTCCTATATTTGAGGTTGGTTCGTTGTGATTCGTTAATTGTGAGAAGTTGAACCTTGACTTTCAATTTGATGCTGAGCTATTCTTAGAACTGTATGATTCAGTTTTTAGTGACTCTGACAAAACTTAAACAAATCTCCTTCATTCAATCTGGTGCGATTTTATACAAGGTTTGAGCGTGGTCTTGAACTTACCCGTATGGTGCTTCAATATTTGTAATGTCATTTTAGCAGCATTGCATTTGCATGTCCGAAATGGCTACAATAAATTTGTCCAAATTATGACACTCGATTCCATTGATCCAATTTTTGTTGTGTAATTTGTCGTAAAAGTTCTCCCAAAAAACTGGCATTCACAATTAATCTCGATAACTTGCTAAACTGTTTAATGAGTTTGATTTTTGTTAAAAAATATAATTTTATGCCCGTTTTAATGAAAATTTTTGGAGCTTGCTGGGCTCATATGTGATGCACAAAAAATGTGCGGAGCTCATGCTGGCTTGGAGATTAACATCAAAATCACAACAACATGTGTCAAATCAAATTCTATTCTTTAAACACTTATTTTGTGCTCATCGATAGTAACATAGATAATTTTTACAAGTTGGAGGATCCTAAACTAATAACTAGGTTATTTATCAAGAAGTAATCCTTAGTTCCCCATTTTGTTGTCACTGCAGGCATTGGTGTCAAAGTTTGACCTTTATTTCGGCAGTTTGGCTTTGTCATTCGGCACCTTTTTGTCCTTAACTGTCGACAGTGAACTTGATTGTGCTTATATTTTCCCTTAGCCCTTCCTCTAATGCACTACCGCAGGGTTGATGTTCAAAAATCCGAATCTCCGATCCGCATAAAATCTGTTGACTGCCAAGTGCAAACATCCGTAGCTTCAATTATGTTAAAATGATATGCGAATCAAACATCTGAAATTCGCTGCTATGTGTTGTTTGCTTAATAAATCTTGGAATTTGTTTCGTGAAACGAAAACAACGAGCAAGTGAAATACTGGGTTTTGGTAAGTCTGTGCATTTTTGATTTGTCTATTTATTGAACCTTCGGATGTTTGCACGGTGGTTTTTCGTATCCCATCTTTTTATGTTGTCCTAGTCCCAGATCCAGATTGCCTTTTTCATCTCAAGAAAAGTCTAGAGTGCTAACCACATAATTTCGGCCACTTTGGTTGGAAATGTTCTGTTTAAAACAAGATATAATTTATATCGTTTTACACCCTCGACTGAAACTGATTAATGCGTTAATTGGAACACCATTTTGGACTTGGTTGAAAAACCTATTAAAAAGTAGTACGTCAATGTTACACAATCGAAAAAAAAACAGATAGTGTGTTTAAATATCGTCATAGAGAAGAGACATCAACTGTCTCATTTTGAAAACAATGACCTACTTGCCGACGTTCAGCGAGCCGATTGTGTAATTCGTTCTAAAGTGGCATTATTATGATTTTCGTTTCGTTCAACCAACGCTACCTGCGCGAGATGGGGACTAAATTCAATGTAGTTGTTACGATTTGAAAGAAGTGGCTATTTGAATGAGAGCTTTAGTTGTGCTGCTCAACGTAGTGCGTTTGTCCTACATGACTGCTAAATGGATCGAAAGAGCAGAGGAAAAATTGGAGATAAAGCCATTCGTTTGTGCTGTTATTTTATAACTAATTTATTATTTTAATACAAAGTTTTACATCCTACGAACTTTTTAAAACTTCAATTAAGTTTGTACGTATTGTAGAGGCGTATAATTGTGCAAACTGCAAAATTGGTTTTTGCAAGTTTCTGAAGAGCTTTGAACTCCCGTTGATAAGTGAAGCTTTAACGTGTTTTTCTAGCAGACGAAGCTAGTTTTATGCGAACTAACTAATGCTTCTCTTATTTCTTCTGGTTTTCAATTACCGTTCACAAATATAAGAAGTTATATATTGCCGTTCTGCAACCAAACAAAAATGCAAATGCTAACTAAGTTCTAAAGTAAGATAAGTTGTGCGATCGTCTGGTTAAATGACATTAAGCGTTTTGAACTTAGCTCGCTAGCAAAGGTTTACATATAGAGAAGATGGCGAAGGAAATATAATTTGATTTTAGATTAAACATGCTGGTTTCTCGGTTTAGCCGACTTGCAGGTAGCTCTCGGGTCGTGTCCCGACTGGCTTCAAGTCAGTCGGCTTTGATCCCGACAGCACCCAATGTCTTGGAAACTAACTCGGGAGTGAAAGCATGCCTGATGGAATCCAAGGTCACCGATACTTCCCTTTCTCAAAACCTGAAAAAAGATGTCACTGATATAAGCCTAGTGGTGAAGGCTGGAACTCGATTCGAATCGGATGTTTCTCAGGAGCTAGGGCTGGCTCAAGCTCTGAAAACCTTCTCAATGTTGACGCATGACGGGTCAACTATTCTCAGATCTCTGGGAACCATGGAGTTGCTAGGCTGTGAATACGGCATAACGGTGACTCGAGAACTGATCATTTACAAATTGTCATGCGAACAGCAATACTTCAACGATGTTTTACCTTTCCTTACCAGTGCCCTTTCCAAACCGAGATTTGCCAAATGGGAATTAGGTCCAACAAAGTACCAGGCAAAGTTGGATAGTTTTCTCTTCAGCCAAGATCCGGTAGCTGTCACCGTTGACCTTTTGCACAAAGCTGCGTTCAGAAAGGGACTTGGAAACTCACTCACTATGACTGAAGATCAAGTTGACTCGTTGAATCCAGATAAATTGCTGAAGTACCACGAATTAATGTTCTCGCCAAGTAACGCATTCTTGGCGTCTAATAACGCTCCGCAAGATTTGGTGAAGTCTCATTTTGAAAACTTCGGCAAAGGAGAAGCTGGTTCGAAAAGTATGGTAAAAATAGCGAAGAGTGAATTCATCTCGGACGAGATTCGATCCGATGACAATACAAAAGACAGTGTTGTGATTGCTATCGCAAGGAGCAGTGGACCTACTAACAGTAAACAGGCCATTATAGACTCGATGCTTGCTCATTTGCTTCAAGGTAAACAACGGATTTTAATAGATTTCTCATTTTTCGAGTTATTAAGAGAAATGAATGTAGTGAAGACTCTTAAAATAGGTCTAGGTTTTTTTTCAGGAAAAGGTCTTCAAATTGAGGCTCATATTTTTTTGCGGGGTTTACCTTTACTTTTTGGGTTTTACTTTTTGGAGATTTCCAGTTCAGTTAATTTCCTTGTTGAAGGAACGCAAACTCCTATCCAACAGCAAAAGTGTAAAGGTGACGATAAACATGCTCGACGTCTAGTTTCGAAAATGGAATTGAACTTTCGGATTTCTTAGCAAACTGTTGGGTTAGATTTCCCAGATTGGGACAGTTTTATCAAAAAAAATGTCAATCTTAAACTAGAAGTCTTGAATCTTGTTCTAGAAATTCAGAGAGCTTTAAGGGCATATGTTTTTTCTTTAAAATTCGACAGCTGAAGTTGTGTCAAAAACAAGTCAAATTTTTTTTTATTTCCTTGCGCTCATTACTTTTTTCAACCGGTGTTTTTCCAACCGAGATTTTTTCATAAACAACTTTTTTAAAGGAATTCGCTTGTGAAAATCTTACGCGTGTTACTTGCTTTATAACACTTTTTTGGGAACTAGACTTTTTGCCCGTTGAAATTTTTTTTTACAAATCTGTATAAAATTGTGAAGCTTTTTCGTTTGGACGGCTTTGTTGCCAGATCGGATAAATTGCTTGTGCTGTCAGCAATTTCATCGCAGGTGCAAGTGTTTTTGATTTACTTCAGTAATTTTAAAGTTAATTGCCCTGACGTTGTATAGTTTCCTTGATTTTCTTTGTTTTTTCGCTGAACGTCTTTATTCGGTCTACATAGTTTCGTGTTATGTTTTATCGCCTTAGTTACTTTTTTGTATCGCTTCAAAGGCGCAAATATGTGAATTTTTTTTTGAAAAGTTAAGGTAGATAGTGCTGCAAGATTACAAAGTGTTAAATTTTGATTGCTGAAACATTTTTCAAGGAACACAACTTGTTGATTTTTTTTGTGTTCGGCTTAATGCGCGTCTGCGTCTACCCACTTGTTTTCGCCTTAGTGGCCGCTTTTCTCCATTTTCACTTTTCTCGCGTCTTGACATTTGATTTAAGTTAAATTTTTACACCAAATCGCAGACAAGTTATGCTCCGCAACAGCAAAATTGAAATAAGCGCTAAAACCCCGTGAAAATTTTTTGTTTGACAGTTGGGTGTTAGTTTTCAGACTTATGAGCGGAATAAAATGCGAATCTTTTCATCCATTTTTTATTCTAAGAATCATGGTTGCCATTAGACCGGCTAACTGATTTATTTTTTTTCAACATTGATTTAATCTTATTTTTTCTCTGAAACTCAGAACTTCAAAAAAGTTCCTGCTTCCTTAAGTTAATTGACACTTTTCTTATCTGAATGTTGGCTATTTTTAGCTTTTAAGTTGTGTTTTTTTTGGCTTAAATTTTAAGATGATAAATTATTTCCTCTAAAACTTAAAAAAAGTTAAACGCAGTCAATTATGTTTTTTTTTGGTCTCCTTGATTTCATTGACTTTTTTCCAACTTTTTATTGGCTACATTTATCTGCATACACCTAATCTAACTTCGCTTTTGTGTCAATTGCATAGAAATATGGATTATCAAGCAGAATTTTCTTCATTGTTTTGGTAGTTGTTCCGACCATTGAAAATGGAAAGGAACTCTGTATTCGGGTTTGTTTTAAGTTTTTTTAATTCCGCGCAAAATCAGCTACCACAAATAGTCATTGGACAGGGTTTAGTGGTATATCATGTTGAAGCCCTTTTAGTCGTGATTCGAACGACATTCATAAATTTCGAAAAGTTCAAAATTTCACAGTGTCGAAAAAAAACCGGTTTGAAATTTTTGTTCAAATTTCGAGCTAATTAGCAAGGTAGTTAGTAATTTCAATAGCTTATTTAAGCCTTAATTAATAATTTAAGCCGTGAAAACTTGGTTTTACTGAAAAAAGGTAGTTTTTGGAGATTTTTTTGTTTTGTTCTTTTTGTTTTTCTACGCAAAATCAGCTACCACAAATAATCATCGGACTCGTCGAGAAAAACAGGGTTTTGATTTTTTGTCTAAATTCGAGCGAGTAAACCGAGTGAGAACGCTTGTTTATGCTTAATTCACGCCGATTACAATAGCTCCTTCTGTCTAATTTTAATTTAAATTGAGTAAAATTAGTTTTTGGGAGATTTTTAATGCCCTTTTGGGAATCAAAAACTTCGAAATTTCAAAAAAAAACTTGCGGAAAAGTTTTTCCAATTTTTTCAATAACGAAAATGCGTGTCTTAGGTCTTCCCCCAGCATATTTAGACAAAAAAACCTATTAGAAATTTGAAAGTTGAATTTTTTTTTCGATTTTCTTGTCATTTTTCCACAAAAGCTGTTTTCCATTCGGCCTAGTTTACTGTGTCGAATATGCATAAGTTCTATTTTTTGTTCAGATCTTTTTATCGCGCCACGCAGCAAAAAAACGACACTAATTTGAAATCACTTGTTTTGTATATTTTAAGACTATGGTCGGAATTTCTGTGCTACTTGCGCACTAAACGGCTATCCTTGTTTTGAATCTGGATTTGATTTTAAGTACAATCAGTGGATTAAAAGTATAGTTCCACAAAAACTAATTTTCATAAAATTTGTAAATCATGGTTTCTCAATTTGGATTAGATTTGTTACATCATAAAGAGTTTTGAAATTCGAAATTGGCTTAAGTTTTAAGATGTATTTTTTCTTTGAATTTTAAAGATGAAAAAAGTTGCAAGATGTTCTATTTTTTCAGCTTCCATCTTCAGTTTTACTTATGTTGTCCTTGTTATCTATTACTTTTGCATTCGATAGGTCGCTAAGATCTAAAGTAGAATAGTGCCCTTGAATGTTTTTGATTGCAGGTAAATCCAGCTCCTCAATTGGCCAGAAAGACTTCCTGCTTCTGCCATTGGCGGAGGAGCACGGCGAATGGGCTCAGGCCTTTCAGTGTGACTACAGTGACGCGGGAATGTTCGGATTCCTCGTCAGTTGCCAGGCGGAGAACGCGACTGCACATGTGAACAAACTTATGGAGTCACTGAAGTCCCTCGACGTCTCACTGACTGAGGATCACGTGACTATTGCACGTAGCAGCCATATGAGAGGTCAGTTACTTCAGCTCAATTAAAATTATTTACCGGAAAATTGTATTAATTGGAATTGTTTTTCCGACTTTCAGCGAAAAAGAGCATTTTTATTATTAATATTTTTTTGAAATATAACCGTTTGCTTGGATAGTATTATAGGCTCCAGGTCGGTTGGTCTTGAAAAGTGAAGCAAAATCTTATACCAGTTGAAATTATTTCTCATTGATTGGCGTTTATAGTTGCTGGTAGATCAGATGATGACTTTTGTAATTTGTAGGTGTGCTAAGTGAGCTTTCGACCCCATCGGCACAAGTAGAACACATGGCCGCTCAGATGATGTTGGGCACTGCTATTGGACAAGATGAATACAATGCAATTCTGAACAGTGTGACCAAAGCGGACCTGAAAAAAGCAATCGGAGACTTCCTGAATGCGCCCAAGAGCATGGCATCTCACGGAAACTGCTCACATGTACCGTACCTTGAACAAATAAAATGCTAGATTGTTTTAACAGCCACTTAATTGAATTAAATCCCACTGATGTAGAACATAGTTTTTTTTTCGTAGAAGAGAATCATTTCATGTTCATGGAGTGCGAGGGTTAGTCTGAAATAATTACTCTCGATATTTGAGAGGGCAAGCACTATTATAGGAATCTAATATAGGGGCAAGTCAAAAAAGTTAATTTTTTGGTAATTAAATTTAGCGGTAATTACACATGTGTCGTATAACCCGAAACTTAACTTTTCTCGTTAAATATTTTTCGTACAAAAATGTAAAAATGATTTCGACTGATTTCGTATGAAGGTAGAATTGTTTATTTGACTTATTTAGCCAAATTATTTGTCGGCTTTTGGCTCACTTTCTAATGGTTACCTTGCCATTCTATGTTTGTGAGGTATCGCTAGTGGCGTGAACACAGCTTTGACTCTCTGTCAACATTGGATCTTTAATTTGATTTCCATTAATTCTATAAGAACAGAACTGCTATACCATTTCAAAAAAATTATTGGATGACAGGGGTGGTTCATTGTTGAGCTAAGAGCTGTCACGCCATAATTTCCTAATTTAACATTTAAGCTAGTTACACTTTCGAGAGTAAGTGTCTTGCTATCATGACCAGGTTTCTTTCCCGTAAACAACTTTTGTTACAAATATGTAAGAAATTGTGAAGTTGTCAGTGAACCTTAGCAACTTCGAAACTTCTTCCCACTTGGGCTAGAAGTAACGTGGTTACCTTTCTACCCTAATACCTGGGGTTCGAGTTCCGGCCGGATCTTATTTTGTTGAGCATGTAGTATGAAACTGACTGTTATCTTCTGTTATTGTTTTTTGTTGTCTGCTCATGTTTTGTCGGCCTAATTGCCCGATAGGGGAATTTTCTTGTGCTGTCAGGATTCTTTATCGTAGCAGGAAGTATTTGATTTTGTAATTGGTAAAATAAATAGCCCTGAAGTTGTATATTTTCCTTTATTTTCTTTTTTTGGATAAAAGTTTTATTCGGCATTGAAAATTTCGGGTAAGTTACTGTATCGCTTTTTGATCGATTTTTTTATTGAAAAGTTCATATAGCGTTTCAATTTTTCCAATTTTAACGCTTAATTGGTGAGAAAAAAATTATGACAAAAAATTTGTTTATGGAATTTTAAACGTAGTTCAGACTCTTGTATTGTTCGCGATGCTTTTTTTAAAAATGTCTCATAAGTCTTAAATTTTGTACAGGCTCAAATTGGCTTTGGCTGATCGACTTTTGATATCTTTTTTTTAGTTCAGTTCATTTCCTTTTGTTTAAAGGAAATCAAACTTTACTATCGAACAGTAAAATTGTCTAGGTTACGAAAAACGTGATTGACTTCTAGTTTTGAAAGTGGTATTAAGAGTAATGAACGTAGTGAAGACGCTTATAAAGATCTTGCTGTTTTTTTTTCTGGAAAAAGGTTTAGAATATTGATGCATCTAGGTATAATGCACTTTGCGAGTTCAATTGAAATTCATCTGCTGAAAGTGACGTAAATAGCACTCCAAATACGAACGTGCAAATGACGCAAAACTCGTGAACGATTTTAGTTTCGAAAGTGGATTTTTAAATACCTTTCCAGCGGATTAAAAACTTAACCTATTTATCCAGTTTTCTCTAGTTGGGTTCATGTTATCAAAAAAGCACCTATCATAAATTGTTCTAGAAATTCACAGAGCTTAAAGGGCATCTATTTTTTTTCTTTGAAATTCGAAAGTTTGAAATTTTTTCAGCAAAATCATTGTTTTTTTTCTGTTTAATTCGTTCATTACTCTTTTTCTATCTTCGATTGGCTGTGGTTCTGAATTTAAGCGCAGTTAAGTATCAGTTTTCCAAACCTGTTGGCGATATTTTTTTGGTAGGGCTATATTGCTAGTAATTCAGTGCTATCTCGAAACTGCTAGCTTGAAATTTTTGTGATTCAAAATCTAAAAGGGAATATAAATAATTGCAATCAAAATACATCGAAAGTTTATTGCGCAGCTAAATTGAAGTCTTGGTAAATCATTTTTGTACGCTTTTAAAATTTTTTAGATTTCGTTCTGCCAGAAAGTCAGTAGCGGATTTAGGGTGAAGGTGGGGAGTGGAACCCCCCTCAGGGATTCAACCCACTGCCGACCCAAAGGGTCCCCTCCCCCCTTTGTACTATTTGAGATATCCATTTTTGGCTGACTGACCTTAAAATTTTTCAAAAGGCGCCTTCAGCGCCAATCTATATTAATTCTGAGGGGGGAGCGCGCGCCGAAAAACCGCTATTTTTTGGTCGAAATTTTCCAAAAAGTTCCTAAAAACGCTTTTTTTTTTAATTTGCCTGCGACGCAAAAAAAATCTGGTCAAATTAGGGCCTTTATAGTGGTTTGGGAGGGCTCATAAAATTCTCAGAAAATCAATTTGGTCGAAAAAAAGGTCGACAAAATTTTCAAAACTTTTTTGAAAATTCGCCCCCCCCCCTCGAGAAATTTCTAGATCCATGCCTGCACAACGTATACTCGATTTTTGAGATTCATAATGGTAAAAATATGATAGTATCTAGATCACATAAAAATCTGCAATAGCGGATAAATAAAGAGGCCTACTCTTTATCCTTTAAACTCACAAAAACAGCCTAAATTGAATCGAGCTTGATGACTAATTCGGCAATCACAATTTCAATAAATCTCAATACTAATAATAATGAATACCAAAAATCCCAAATCTCACGTGATTATGTAGTAGTTGTCGAGAAAATAGCAGAAGGGTGAAAGAAAGATTTTGTCAGTCTCATTGCTTAAAAACTAAAGGTTATAGATTCTTTGTCACGTTACTTCTTATTACGCATGTGATTAGCAAGCGTTATGTTCAATATACTTTTGTTTGCCAAAAGCTGTGCCGGGCGCTCTCTAGTTTAATTTTCTTAGCAAATGTACACGCTTTTGTATTAAGACGACCCTGTAAACGTTCCGTTTAGCTTTCGAACTGTTTAAATTCGTTTTTTTTCTGCAAATTTTTCATTAATTTTCAAACAAAAGAAAATAAAAAATATTCTGATAAATTGTTCTGTTATTTTTTTAAAGAAAAAACTTCCATTATAACGTAGTAGTAATTATTCAAAGGTATAGTTTGCGTCTAATTACTTAATGTTTAGACTAATTTAGCATGCTTCCTTTCAGTTTGGATCATTTTCAGAGATGAAGGTATTATCAGCATACTAGTTAAGCATTATAGATAAACGGATGTAAAGCGCGCGTTAATAATTCTAGCAGTTTAGATAAGTTGCAATTTTTGAATAACATTGACTTAGCGACAAATAAATGGAAAAGTCTTAGAATTTGTTCACGTTCAGTTTTGATTTTTCGCGATTTGACTCGCGATTTCTTTTTAAATTCAGTGCATTTCCATTGTTAAAAGGAAGGCAAAATCCACTATCGAGCAGCAAAAAAGTAAAGGTCGCGAAAAATGTGATCGACTTCTAATTTCGAAAATGGAAATTAATTTCAGATATCCCAGTGAAATAAAAGTTTTTCGTATTGATCCAGTTTTCTCAAATTGGGTTTTCTCAACTGAAAAGTGTCCATCATGAATTGTTCTGCAAATTCAAAAGAGCTTTAAGACCAATTTTTTTCGAATATTATTGCAAAGTTTGTCTCGAAAAAAAATTCAATTTGAAGCCCACTTTTTCGACACAAAATACAAGATGAACCTGTTTTAAATTCTTCTTAGTTCTGATGTGAATCACCCCGTGAATAAAAATGACATTACCGTTCAAACCGAATGTTGATGGAGAAATCAATAAATTAGATGCAAGAATTCGTTTTGACTACATTTTTGCCAAATTTGCTTGATACGATTTAGTGTAAAACAAGCAAAAAAATTGTTCTCGAAAATCATTTGAAAATTTTGTTTTTCATTGCTAGAAAAAGCTGCCATTTTCTATCGCGCAGTTCGTTCGTAGATCGAATCTCAAGACACTCAGTTCAAGTTTCAAAACAAGGATTTGAATTAAATGAACGTTAATTTCTGAATAATTTGGTCACCGTTCGACCTGCATAAAGCTCAATTAGCATAGAAGTATGAAAACATGAAAAGGTAGCGACTAGCATAATTTTGATAGCTATACTTCTCAGAAATACGAAACGACAAAAAAAAGAATTTTTTCAAACTGAAACTTGCCTTTCTCAGAAGTAAAAAAAAATAAGAAAATAATATCAACAACCAAACGAAATTCCTTGTCCCATAAAGTGTGATCAGCCATACCCCGAACCATTGGGGCCGAATTAGAGAGGGGGCGAGTTTGAAAAGAGTACACTCACCCACTCCCTCCACCCCAATCAAGGATTCGACCCCTTTTTTGTTAAAAAATTTAAAAAAAAATTTAAAGAATTCTTTTTGAACGCCTGTTCCGGTCTGTTTTTTTTTCGAAAATCCGCCTCCTCCCTCAAGAAAATCCTAGATCCGCCCTGCCCGGCTTCTAATGACTTGAACCGAACGCTGATTGAAATGCGTGGAAAAACTGTGATTTATATATAGTTTTTTCGGGATCTCTTTAACTTTTCCCCCCTTTTGCAAAAGGGGGATTCGTTTCGCATATGCTCAGCCGCTAATTTATTTCATTAAGGGGTGGCGTTTTGTTCACACCCCTACGATTATTACTAATAATTCCAACCCCTCCACCCCGCGGTTGTAAGCGGGGGGTGTAACTGCGGGGGAGGGGTTGGTTTTATTGGTAATAATCGTAGGGGGTGAACAAAATGCCACCCCTTAATGAAATTAATTAACGGCTAAGCATATGCGAAACGAATCCCCTTTTGCAACAGGGGGGAATTGTTAAAGAGATCCCAAAAACTATATACAAATCGCAGTGTTTCCTCATATTTCAATCAGCGTCCGGTTCAAGTCATTAGAAGTCGGGGCAGGGCGGATCTAGGATTTTCTTGAGGGAGGAGGCTTTCTGAAATGATTTTTCTGAAATTACTACCAAAAAAGGGTTCGACTCCTTGATTGAGGGTGGAGAGATGGGTTTTCAAACTCGCCCCGTCTCTAAATCCGCCCCTATGGGTCGGGGTATGACTTATCACACTTTATGGGACAAGAATTTAATTTGCTTATTGATATTAAAATCTCAAGCTATAAAAATTCTGCTAGTCGCCACATTTTCATGTTTTAATACTTCTATGCTAATTGAGCTTGATGCTATTCGAGCGGTCACCAAATTATTCAGAAATCAACGTTCATTAAATTCAAATATCCCCATAAACCAATAACCCCAACACCCCCTCCTCGCGGTTACACACCCCCTCACCCCTCAGACCCCATGGACTTATAAACCGGGGGCTGTGAACTTGGGGGCGGGAGGGGTTGAACGTGAAAGGAGGGGTGTAAACGAGGTGTAAGATTAATCGGTTTTTTATCCATGAAATCCAGTGCGGGAATGATTTGGGTCTTGTTTAACAACGATAAATAACAAGATTCAGTGATTTTAATTTTGACAAAACTTGAATTTTGTCAATGTTTTCATTTGTATGCTAGTCGATACGATTTTCGTTTAAAAACTTTTATGCTAGTCGAGCTTTATGCTAGTCAATACAACGCCATTGAGAACAGCTGCGTCTCTTCAAGTCATGTTTACTTGACTTAATATTAAAAATTACCGTCCGGCGTAGTGTCGAGAAGCTCTAAAGTTGTACTACTGCTGATGATATTTTTCAAATGCATCACGCACGTTTCTTAAAATAGTAACGAGCACAAATTATGCATTATGATCGAACAAATGAAAATATCCGGAACTGTGAAAGTGTAAAACATTTTATATGTAATACATAAAGTTTTGTTTTATTGGCTGATATTCGAATTCTGCAGCGTTTGAACAACAGAAAATAATCAGTAAACCAGTTAAAAAATCATATCTTACATTTGAAAATTAGTTTAAAAAGTTATATCCTACATACACAATGAATTTTCTGAGAGCCTTGAAACGAGCTATTTTTGGTAAAAGCTCGCCAAATGAACATCTTCATATAAATGTGAAGAGCAAAAATATATACAACAGTAATAGAGATTGCGAGGATTTGCTGAACCAAAAAATTCCAGAAAATGGCTCATATTTCGATATCTACGGCTTGATAGGAGACCAAGGCGCAGAGCATGATCAAAGCGATTTCAAACAATCGAAACATGAATTTGAAAAACAGACGTTCCAATCATGGCCTCCCAAAAACAAAATAGGAAAATATAATCAAAGCAGACCCAACGAATACGTCCACATCGCTCCAGAAAGCCCAAAAGATGCTGGTAAAACGAAAGCATTGGATACAACCTTGCGTGAGCTTCTGCAGGAGATACGCCAAGATCTACAGGACCAGCCATATTTTGACGGGAAAATCAAAATGCCAGATGCAGGTATCCAAATTTCTACACCTCATTCGTTCAATTCTTGGTGGGCTTTTAGCGTTGTCCAATACGTAATAATATATTTTACGCATGCCAGATACACAGCATTACGGATACAATGTTATGATCAGTTTCTTTGGTTAAATTATAAGTGGGGATAGAATCAACTTAAAATCGAAATGCTTGTACTACAAAATTTATGCTCTCTTGGAGAAAATTATGATAAATTGGATGTACTGCTTCAGCAACAAAATTTAAACCCTTTTTTGTTGTTCTAACAGAAACTTGGCTTAGGGGCATATCTAGTCTTAACATTTTTTGCCAAAACGATTGTAAACACATTGATATACATGTAACAAAGCCAAAAGTAGGGGTGTAGGAGTAGCAATGCTTTCTAGGGAAGAAAATATTTTTAAAATTTTTAAAAATACAGCCTCAAAAAACCCAATTCTTACTGTCTCGGCGATCTGTAACAAACAAAAACTTTTTCTAACTGTAGTTGACTAGTAGCCCAGTGCAAAAAAAATAACATTTTTTTTGAAATTTTATTGACCCATATGTTTGAATTAAAAATTGACACTTAAGATAAACATATATTAAGTGGCGATTTTAACATTGTCTCCAAAATAATTTTGAACCGCTGAATACGTATAAATAAAAGATTTATCGAAAAAAATCAAATTTTCTGTTTCGGAATTTTTTGTTCAAATTGCATAGATTATAACCACAATCTGAAACTTACAAGCAAAAACTTGAAAAAAGAAATCCAAATTGATTTTTATCCGTAATTATGGCACAGAGCTCCATGTTCCATTCAAAATATTTTTGACGATTTTTGAGTTTTTTTAAATCTTGCTTTGTTTTTTTTTGGGAAAAAATTGCTTTGTTAGAATTGTTCTTGGAAGAAAGCTTAAGATAGCGGAAATTCCCAACAAATCTTAAGAGAAGTTCTAAGATAGGGACACTTTTTATAGGATGGTCAATTCGGGTAAGTACGAGTTGATAAATAGATTGAAAAATATTTCTGGTTTTGAGTTCAATATTAATGTTCTAACTTCTTTTTATTTAATTAGTCTGTTTTTCTAATTATTTTTTTTCTGCCCGCTGGTAGCGAGACTGCTGAAGAAGTACAAAATTGAGGGCTCGTTTCTAGTGCGCAACAGCAGAAACCAAGACGGACTCAACTTCGCTATCACATTCTTCTCGAGTGCATTCAAAATAAAATCTGTTAAAAGTATCGGAATCACTTTCATCCCTGCCGTCAAGAAATGGAGAATGGGACACAATGAAATTCCAAACGAACGCCAATTCAACAAAGTATGGCTTTTTTCTTCATTAAATGATTATTCAATTGAGTATCATATTGATAATTTCATCACATTAGTTTTTGCTAATTTGGCTGCAGTCCTGAAGGAACAACTTTTGGCGCAAAATAAAAAAGAACGGATGCCAATACCTTACCGTAATTTGATGAGAGGCGTGGCTTTACGCCGCAAATACATATTTTCGTCGAACATTTCCAAAAAGCCTTAAAATAGCTTTTTTGACACTTTCATCTTGATTTTTGCTCGCGTCGAAAAAAAGGCCCATAAATGTTACGAACATCCCCGCCCCTCTGCTCCATCGGGAAAATCTTAAATCCGCCCCTATGTCTATTAGTTCGGATTTTAACACTCGTCTGACTGCTCGCGATTTCCTTAAAATATGTCCCAAATTTTGAAGTTCTCAAAGCGGCTGCTTTAAAGCAGACTAAGTACCTTTTAAAAATCGAAAAGAAGTGAAATAATTGGCGGATCTAACAATTTTTGTAGGGAGAAGGTGAGCTTCTCAATTTAAAAAAATCTCGACTTTTGTGACCCAAATGTTTTTACGAGCTCCCCAGAACACTATAAAATACATATTTTGGAAATTTTTCTACGCAGCATGCATTTTTTTGAACAACAGTCCTTTTTGACTTTTTCAGCACTTTTTGAAGGCTCGGCATAAATCCTCAAATTTGCTTATAATGGCACCGAAAGTTGGCACCGAAAATTTTAAAGTTGATCTAAAATTAAAGACCGTTGGGTTATTTTGGGTTGGAGACAACCCCTTTCTTTTAACTTAACCCCCGCATGTATTAGAAGCATAAAGATGAGGATAAAAGGTCTTAAATACATATTTTCGTATGACTGCATTTTGAGAGGTTCTTTTATTTGTTCAGGTTTCTGACTGCGTTGAGTTCATCAGGAGTAAGAGGCAAACTTTAACGAGTGGAGAGGAAATAGAACTAAGTGGACCACTCACAAAAGAACTAATCGAAAAAAGAAACCGTCTATCACCATCACCGATTTAAAAAAGAAAGAGAAATTTTAAAATGCATTCTCTTTTGATATTCAAAATTAATTAAAGTGTTACTCATTTATAAAAAAAGTTCCTGCGTAATGATTGAACATAAATTGCTCAGTTCTAAATTTACTATTTTTCTAAACATATTTAGCAATTCAAGGTTTTTTAGTTTCACGTTTTTCTAAAAAGCAGGTCGTTGACAGGCCATCAAGCTGAAAAGCCATTAAACCAAAAATAAGGTTTCCATAAAAATAATCCGAAAATTAGTTTTGTTGTGCAATATAACAACTGATTATTTCTGTTATTATGCAATTGTTACGTAATGCTGATGCAATTTCGGCTTTCAGATATGGCAGATTGTTCATATGGCGGTGTGTTGAAACCCGCTGGCAGCACATCAGCCACAAACTTCAAAATGGGAGAAAATTTGCTCAAAAGTGCACGTCAGAATCAAGTTAAACCCTCTCTCCTAAAAAAACTTTTAGGGCGAGGAACAAGGTAGCGTTTTAATTGGTAGCGTTTTCTTTGTGTTTTGGGATAGCTAAAAAACCAATAAAGTTGACCTAAGAAACTTTTAGAAATCGTACTCCTATCGGAAATATCCATAATAAGCCTCTACTATTGTCATAGTTTCGGTCCTCGCACTCAAATTCTGTTGATTCACGCTTTCAGAGAAACAAGCTCCATGTTTTTACTCCATCAATCCCCAATTCCTAGATCAGACAAGCGAAACTTAATAATTGAACAGAAATCTAAGTCTAAACCTAATTGTAATACGTAAACAATAAGTTAATACAACTGCTTGTACAGAAAAACTCACAAAGGATCATGCAAAAAGTTATACGGATTATCGAGGCATGAAGCTGAAAAGTCTTGCGAAACAGAAATTGCGAGATAACATCGGACATGAACCGCGCAAATCAGTAAAACAAATCCAATAAATTGGAGTTATCCTAAAGATCTAGAAAATAAATGTTTTTGAAACCCTGCGTTATTTCTTTCAAATTATCTGGTATCATGTCGTTAAATTGCAGATCATTAAACTCATGACTGCTGCATTAATTGAGTTTTTGTTTTTAAGCCAGTTGTTGACCTGTAAAGAAAATTTTTCACCATTGCAAAACCGACCAATTTTCACCATCTTGCAATATGATTGGTTTAATACCAGCTTATTAGCATCATACCAGTCACTAACAATTTATTTCTGTTTCTGATTGAATGTTTTCTTCAGAAACAAAATTCTGAGCTTCAAGTAATGTACTATCATCTGCAAGCAAAGTTGAATGAATGCTGCTGGCTAAAGGTCTATCATATACGTTTGGAAGAAACAAAAAGGATCCAGCACGGATCCTTGTTAAACACTTTATGCGACTTCTAATCTATCAGAAACAGATAGATTTGTCTGAATATACAAACTGTTGTCGTGTTTTGAGATAGCTACACATTAGATTACGAATTTTCCCTCAAAACCATATCTGTAACGTAAAATGTTTCGTTACACGGTATCAAATGCTCTCTTCACATCGATAAGACAAGAATAATCAGTTGCTTTTTGTCAATTGTTCTCGAATGTTATCTGTGATACAAAAAAATGCATGCGTTAAAAAAATGGTTGTTTCAAATCCAAACTTCCATTTAACAAAGAAAAACATTTTGAGTCGCAAAATTATATAACGACCTGAAAGGAAACTTCCCAAATCCTTATTAACAGAAGACGAAAACCTATATGATATTTTTAATGGGTTCTTTTTGTCACTTTTTTAATGCAGTTTTAAATTTTTTTGGAATCTTGTGAAAATGAGGAAAACATTGCTTTTGAAAGCAAAAATTGGGAAAAAAAGCTAAAGATTCAACCAGCACCGGTCTAGAAAATGTAAGCTTTTTCCAACTTTTATTACAACTAATTGATTTTTCATAGTTAATTTTTTAAAGCTCTTTCAAGACTTCGTATCTACCAGTTTCATGCAACCCAGTTCTTTTGTCTTTAGCATTAATAACCGGCCTGTATTTCCTTCAATCAAGTTATCTATTTTTTTCTCCACTTGTACTGAAAAGGTCGTTAAAAACGTTTGCATTGAAGAAACAAGTGTTCTGCTTTTTGTTCCGCAGAAATGGTTAAAAGCATCAAAAATTCTAGAATGTTCTTTTTGTTCATTATTCTTTCATCATGGAAATTTTGTTTAATTTCCCTTAAATTCCGAATCACGTTATTTTTACACGTTTTCAAACTATTCCCATGCTCACTGAATAGGTCGCTTACACTTTTTTGATTAATTGTTTTCTTTTTTGTCATCATTTGTTTAGTTTGGTTAATAATCTAATAAAAAAAATTTTTTTATTTTTTCCTTCGAGTGTTCAGTTAAGATCTGGATCCGTTTCATTATACAAAAGTTTAAATCATCGCGAGAGATGATCCAAGACTTTGAAGTAAATGTCGTCATTCAGCAGTCATCGAAAATTTGGTTCTTTGTCCCCAATTTTGTCTAATCGATCTTTTAGAGCAAACTAGAAATTAGGGCAAGCGTTGTCATTTAAGAATTACTCATAGTTGAAATCCCAAAACCTATGGACATTGTTCTCGTTTTCAAGCGTCGACAAAAAGCCAAATTGGTCACTGACAGTGCAGCCCAAAGTTTTAACAAAGAACTTTTCAGAAGCGAATATATGATCAATTAATAAATTACTTACTACGTGTATTCAAAAATTTAAAAATCAAAGGCAAAAGACATTTAGAACGTTTATATAATCCAGAACATTACGATGGTTAGATAAATTAGCGCCGTAAATTAATTTTTTGCTGGTGAATGTTTTCAGAAAAAATATCTTCTTTTCACTTAAACATTTTTATAATTAAGTTCATTAGTTCAACAGCTAAAAGAAAACGATAGAAATTGAAGTCGTTCTTACTAGAAGCACCAACGCCACCACCAGGGGTGTTCACTCGGTTCGCGCAAGCAAACCTATCATAACCTTCTAATCTATTAATGCTGGTAGGATCGTTATCAGAAAGCCAAGTAAAATAAGTTGGCTGTATAGAGATTTCAGTTAACAATAAATTCGTCTTGATGTGCTTTAGTGAAAAAACTTTTTTGTTATGAGTCAAGTCAGTCATATCTCGCAAAAAAACAATTTGGTAAGACAACATAAAAAATTGACTGTCCGGCTCGTTGATCAATTGATCTCTTTCGACATTTGATGGCGTAGTTTCTCCATCACGATTTTTGGCTGAAACAAAACGCTCACTGAAGAATAAATTTGCGATCAACTACGTTATGCCACTGAAATCCTCCATCCGATCTAGAAACAAAACCTGAGGGGCACAATTATAGATTACGTATACATTCCAAGACCACGTTTAAAAAATCTGCAATTCTGAACCGCATTGTGTAAGTTGCTCTGTAATATAGACTGGGTGTTTGTGCATGGAAATGCAAAAAATCGCGTAATATCTTTTTACGGCCAAACATTATATTCAACCTCAAAATGAACAAAATTGACGATAACCACACAATTTTTAATTGACTCACGGGGCCGAGTCGGGCTTCAGGCCCCTCCACACCCTTATTATCATTAAAGACAACCAGCCAATCTTGCTGAATATTTCTAAGACGTTATGATAATTTTTGCAAAGTAACACAATCTTTCGAAATGTAACGTTACAGTTAATTACTTTTTTCTAGAAATTATACCCGATTTTGCAATTGAACAAAAGTATTATCCTTTTCGTTAGATTTTTTGTCAACCCTGTAAATTGTTCATTTATTTAGGAACAATAATATCTTTCCTTTCATTGACCATGAATTTATGATTAAAATTTGCCATTGAGTAAACGCTAATTTCGGAGTTTCAAATCGTGCCAGCAAAAAAAAAACATTTTAGAAACAACCAGTTTTCGTTTTCTTTTTCTCTTTGTAGTCTTTCTATCTTTTTCAATCCAAATTTAACTTAACTGTAACTGGATGTCCTCAGATTTCATCTTTTCTTTATACTTTCGAACTGAGTGAAATGAGAAACTTGGTGTATCCCATAAAATTTGTATTATAATAATAAACTACAAAAACCAATCACATAATACCTAACAAGACTGCTTGCTAATTTATCAGAACAAAATTTTAAACGTCCTGACTGCACGTTATTTTATCCCCTTCAAGTAGAAAAAGGTTTTCAGACTCATTGCCAAAATCATGACCAAATGAAATGCCTCATTTCATTTCAGAACGATTTTCTCTGCTGTTTAGTTGTGTTTTAAGAACGCAATATGTCGCGCATAAGTTATCCCAAGTTTGCCAAATTAGTAATTTTCGAACCACCATAATTTCACAAAAATTCATTGTGCAGTGCATCGGATAAAAAAAATTTGAAGATCAACTGCATCGAATTTTTTGTTAAAAAAAAACAAGAACAAGTGAGGTTTTTGGTAATTTAATTATATTGAAGGACAAATATTTGTTACTTCGTCACTAGAATTAGTAGTATTGTATTTTTGCGAAACTGATTTGTTCGATAAAAACAAGTGATATTACTTCAAATTAAGCAGTATGTATTTTCCTTCGTTGAGCCATGCTCGCTCGAAAACCTCGCTCTAGGTAACAAGACGTGATATAAGATGCATTTTGGACCAGTTATATTTGCTTAAAGTTTAGAAGTTCTTTTTTTGCTTTTATGCACTTTTCAAATTCACATTTTTCTATCAACAACATCGTAAGTTTTTCTATTCTCACTGGTTTTTTTTTGCATTTTACTACTGACATTTAAAATATGACAATCACTTGAGAAATATTTCGATCTGTTCAGGTGTAATGAAAAATTTGAGAATGATTTATAACAAAAAAAATATCAAAGATTTTGATCGAATGAATAGAAAATTTTGAACCCCAATTTGATTTTTTTATTTTTAAATATTACATCAAGCTTCTTGGAGTGTATCACGCTTTGCTTCTGGAATTTTAAACTGACTCAACGTTCAAAGTGCAAAAGTTTTATACAGTTTTTTCTGTTTTTTTTTCTTGAGTGCACATAATCGAACTGTTTTTTTTTTATCAAAACTGATCAAAATAGTTAACAAAACAGTTTATCATTCAATGAAAGTTGTGTAAAAACA